TTGTAAAATAAAAAAAATTAGGCTGTTGCTGAGAGAGTGACTGCTGAGAGCACAGTCAATAATTAAGTGGAATATGTTGAGAGCGTTTGTTTATTGAGACTGCATATGTGTTTAATTTTTGAAGTTTCAAAGAAAATGCAAGGTAGTGCTTTGAGTCATCTACAGCCTATTTGGGACCAATTCTTAGCCAGTAGCAATCTGGTCTCATTTTAATAGGAAAGCTTGATATTGTGTCGCGTAATCTCCTTTCAGGGAATGTGGGAGTAATTCTACAAACTGAATATGTAATGGGTTGTTGTGAGTTTTTTGGGCTGTCTGGCCATGTTCCAGAAGCATTCTCATGACGTTTTGCCTGTGTCTATGGCAGGCATCCTCAGAGGTTGTGAGGTCTGTTGGAAAATGGCAAGTGAGGTTTATATATCTGTGGCATGTCCAGAATGGGAGAAAGAACTCTTGTTTGTTTGAGGCAGGTGTGAATGTGCAATTGGCCACCTTGATTACCATTTAACGGCCTTGCAGCTTTATGGTCTGGCAGGGGGAATCCTTTGTTGGGAGGTGATTAGCTGGCCCTGATTGTTTCTGGACATTCTACATATATATAAACTCAACTTGCCTAGTTTCCAACAGACCTCACAACCTCTGAGGATGTCTGCCATAGATGCAGGCAAAGCGTCAGGAGATAATGCTTCTGGAACATTGCCACACAGCCCGAAAAACTCACAGCAACCCAATGATTCTGGCAATGAAAACCTTTGATAATACATTGACTTTGTAATTGTACAAAATCGCATATTGTTATTGTTATTATTGTTATTATTATTATTATTATTGATATCACTTCTTGTGCAAAAAAAGTGATTTTTGGGTAATATTTCCAGTTCTGATGTTCTATACATCCAGGAAGGCAGACTAAGGCCCCTGCTACACTGTCCTTATTTCCCAAGACCTGATCCCAGGTTATCTGTTAGGAACAGAATTATATGAGTCTCCACTGCCATATAATCTGGGATAAGTAGATAATCGGAGATCAGATCCTGGGATATAAGGACAGTATAGAAAGGACCTAGGTCTGCAACTTTCATCTGAATGATGTTCTCATAGAAACACATGATTTATCTTTGACAAAGTGTTTGTTAAAGCACAGTAATTTTTATTGCATGTCTTCAATTCATCTCTGTCCCAGGATTTCTTGGGAAGCTTTGTTCAGAGAAGGTTGGCTACTGTCTTCCTTGAGGTTGAGAAAGTGTTACATGCCTGAATTCACCCAGTAGGTTTTCATTGTCAAGAGCCGTTGTGCCACATTGGCTCAGTAAACTATGCTGTGAAAAACTAATGTGTTTCAAGTTAAGAGCTTGTTCTTTAGTGTTCTGTCAATATAGACTTCATTGCTATGGATTAGTTAGTTCAATATTTAGTTACATGTTCAGTTAGAATGCTTGTACTACCATCGGTTCAATTCAGAGCTGTGCACTTAAATTATTGCATGGATGGAAAAGGTTGATACATATCGTTTACAGCTTTGGCACATCCATGCAACCAATCTCTATACATCTGAAGAAAGGGCATTTCTAATTAAATTGAAACTGCTATCCAATGTAATATTTTCTCAGCTGTAACCTTTAGAACTGTTTTTGTAAATAGCTTGCAGGTGTTGGTGGTTTTTGTCTTTCCATTCTTTCCATTGAGTGTTGCAGTGGAGAGAAATATGCCTGGGCCATATGTTTCCCCCCTTACAGATTTATTATAACTTTTATATAAAACGGTTGCAATGTTTTAAAAGCTTGGCGGTTGCATTATCAATGCTCATACCAAGTGCAAAATAATTTGCACAAACAGTCAGATAGTGCACACGTATATATAAAATGCATGCAAGCAATCCTTCCATGTATATGTCTGTTGCTATTGTATGCCTTCAAGGCATTTTCTTGACAAAATCTGTTCAGAGGGGTTTGCCTTCATCTAAGGAAGACTGAGAGAGTGTGACTTGCACAAGCCTACCCAGTAGATTTCTATAACTATGCATGGATTTGAACACTGGTCTCTTGGAGTCTTAATCTAGCACTTGTATCACTATCCCATGAGGAACTGCTACTGGTAGGATATTTTCCTCCATAGGCAAGAACAGAAATGCTTTCTTAACACATGCACAAGTGCACTAGGTCTCATCCAAAATATATCTTTACCTAAGAATGTGAATGTTTCAACTTGTTTCCAAACTTGTATATTACAGGTGTTCAAGGAGCTGGGTTTGGATGCACCATCTTGCTGAACACCTTTGGTAAGAAACCTATTTTTCACATAGGTTAATGTTTGAAGTACAGTATATTCTGGCGTATAAGACTACTTTTTAACCCAAGAAAATCTTCTCAAAAGTCAGGGGTCGTCTTATACGCGGGTGTAGTCTTATGCATGGGAGTCATCTTAACTCTAAAGTTGGGGGTCGTCTTATACGCCCAGTCGTCTTATATGCCGGAATATACGGTATCTTTCCTTAAATCAGTCTTTTATTATAACACATAAGTAGAGGGTGCATCTACACTGCAGAATTAATGCAGTTTGACACCACTTCCAAGTGCTCAATGCTATGAATAATAATTTTTATTTTATTTCTTCCCTGCCTCACAGCTAAAACACATTATCAAAATACAGAAACATTTTAAAACACTCTATAGACTACACATATTAAAAGATATTTCCATAAAATACATATTAAAATACAAAAAACCAAAATTTAGACATAAAGTGGAAGTTTAAAATTAATTAGTCACTAAAACAGTTTGGGTAGACCTGCTGGAAGAGATAGCTCTTCACTTGTATCTTAAAATCCAACAGCTGATATAGCTGTTGGAGCTCTACCTGCAGGTCATTCCACAGTTAGGTGGCCAATGAAAAGGTCCTCTGTATCATGTTTGCCACTTGGGTTCCAGCAGGCTGGAGCAGATGCCCCCCAGAAGACCTCAGTTTTCATGGTGGATTGTAGAGGAGAAGGCGATCCTGTAGGTAACCTGGACCCAAACCATTTAGGGCTTTAAAAGTCAAAACCAACACCTTAAACTTTGCCTGGAGACTAATTGACAATCAGTGGAATGACTTTAGGATATATGTGATATGAAAGCTTTCTTTGCTGCACATATTGCCACCTTATAGGAGTGAAGGTGTCCTCTATACCCTGTCTTGTTGCATAAAAGTCAAGTTTTCCACCATCTGTGCTCTAGTCGTCATCCTTCCCATTTCATTTACCTGAGGGTCTCTTTATACCAGGGAGCCTGTTTTGTCACTGGTCGGAGAGGATGTTTTGGAGCAATCGTGTCAATAGCTCTGGTTAGATATTGATTCTACCTATTGAACAGGGATTCAACAGGATTGTTGGTAATGCCATAAAACCCTCGGCTCCTGGAATCTCAAAGGAGCCATTAACCTTTGAGGGCAGGCCATTTTAATAGGTCCTCCACCCCTGCAGGGGTAGGTGGTAGCTGTGATACTAGTCCTGACCAGAAAGTGATCTGTTCATGACAACTCGGATGTATTGATCACCTCCACCCACAGATCTATATGTTCCAAGCTGAAAGTTGCATCAAGGATATGACCTGCCAAATGCAGTTGTCCTGAAACCAATGTGGATAGGCCCTTGTTTGTCACGGATACCATGAACCCCTGAGCTGCACCTGACAAACTGACCTTCAGTGGTATGTTGAAGTCACCCAGAAGCAAAAGTCTGGGGACTCCAATAACACCTCCAAGATCAGTTCAGTGAGCTCGGCCAGGGAGTCTATTAGGCAGTGGGGTGGACAGTATCCCTGGTTTTCAGACACAGGTGTACATACACAATGTGATTCAGCTCCCTAATAGGTAGTCTGGTCAGGTTAAGGTGGTCTTTATAGACCACAGCTACCCTCTCCCCTGCCTTCTTTTTCTCACCTGCTCACTGATTCAGTACCTGGCTGGGAGGGCCTGGGCTGAGGTTGGGATACTATCATATCTCAACCAAGTTTCAATGAAGCATCCCAGGTCAGCTCCCTCATCTTTGATAAGATCACAGATTATATGAGTCTTATTTTTCACTGACCTGGCATTACTTAAGATCAAGGTGAGATTTCATGGGTGGTCTGCTTCACTCTTCAATTTACTCAGCCTGGCAGGGTGACTGGAAGATGAGATGGGTATTAAACACCTTTCTCTCCTTCCTCCAAGGATACGTAACCTTGTCATCACCATATCTCCCTCTGCCCTGTATGAAATCATGGGAGCTATAGTTTTTTTTTCTTTAGCCTTTACTTCCAAGAAGGGCTGGTCCTCCTCAACCTACATTTTCAGGACTCCATAACATTGAAACATGGCAGTTAAAATGGTGCCAAACTGCATTAATCTTACAGTGTAGATCAGTGGTTCTTAACTTGTGGGTCCCCAGATGTTTCGGCCTTCATCTCCCAGAAATCCTAACAGCTGGTAACCTGGCTGGGATTTCTGGGAGTTGTAAGCCAAAAGATCTGGGGATCCACAGGTTGAGAAACCCTAGTGTAGATTATAGAATCATAGGGTTGGAAGAGACTACATGGACCATCCAGATGCACCCATATTTTTTCTGCGAGGTGTACATTATTTGATAGTATTGTATTTTTATGGAACTCAAGTCAGCTTATAAAAATGGGAACAGATGCAGACAAACACTGATACCATACAAAAGTTAAAATATAATAAAATCTGAAAAAATGATGACCATAAAAAGAAAAACAGAAAATATGGCCAACACAGTACATTGTGAAAGGTCTATTCTCCATAAATAATCAGGCATCAAAGACCTCCTGAAGAAAAAATATTGTTACCATAACCCGTCTCAATTTGGGTTTTGAAAAGCACTATGAATACATCCCACTTTGGGAGCCCAAGCAGATTTCTCACGTAAAAGTGTAAACACATGTTTTGTTCAAAATATTTGCCTTCGTGACATCTTTGTATTTTCTTTTCGCAGATATTTTAAAAATAAATAAATAAACACCAGGATGTTTGCAAAGGCAACAAAGAATTTTGTGAAAGAGGTTGACTCTGGGGGAGACTTGATTCCTGTCCCTAGTCTGAATAACTTGGATAACCTGCAGTTCTTGAGCTTAGTAACAAAGAAGAAGAAAATGTGGTGCTGGCAGAAGCCAAAGTACTATCTGTTGTCAGTCACACTGAATGATGTGCTTGCAAAGGGCGAACCCATAGAGCCAGGTAAATGATAGTTACACAAGGTTAAGATAAGAAAAAGTGCAAAGTGCAACCATTAATGAAGAAAGCATTTAAAATATATATACTTTATATATATTTTAAACTCTGAAATATTCAGCCATTTTCACATAGTGATGCTGCTTAGTTGTAATGTTTAATACATTATCTTGCACATAATTTTATTTTAACGTGAATATAGGGCCCCATCTACACTGCCCTATAAAATCCAGATTATTTTTAACTGAATTATACAGCAGTGTAGACTCATATAATCCAGTTTAAATCAGATAATCTGGATTATATGGCAGTGTAGATCCAGTCTAAGGTATTGATTTGACTTCAGTGAAAGAAATGTTGGTAACATCAAATGATTCAAATGATTATAATATTTAAATTGTACCATTTTTATGGATTCGATGGTTTCAAGTTCTTGATTTGGTACATGCCCATTTTAGATCCTTGTTTTTGGAGCTAGACTGTTACAGTAAATGTGGCTCTTTAATGTTTAATCTTAAAAGGTTGCACTTTAAAGTTATATGAACAATAATAGGTCGATTGTGATTTGAGACAACAAATGCTAGAGTGCTACTTTATCTGACACAGTGAGTATTTTCTTCATTTGATTTGAGCATCCTTTGCATCACAGGTGTAGAGGAAATAATGGTAAATAGTGTGAACAAATGACCATGAGAATTAGAACTCAATTAGCATGGAAACATGTTTGCACATGGTGTAGTTTGACCATTGCCAGTAGCTGTAATTAGTGATAGGACAGTAATTCTTGCATTGTCAAATTAATTAACATCTGTAATGGGATAGGAAGCCAGTGTACAGTTAGATAGGAAGTCATTTGTGTCCAGATTAGATTAGATTTTTATGATCATCTTTGAACCACAGAAGGCCTGTGTTACTTTAAGATTTACAGGTCGACTGATAAATAAAATCAACATTCTTGATAAGTTAGGTGGAGATTCATCAAAGTTGATTCTCTCCATTACTACTATGTAAGATGTTTAAAGACTCTTTTTTTCTAAACTGTTCCATTCACATTGAAGTTCTCACCCTAAGAGCATCTCTGGGTTAGGATCTATTATTATTATTATTATTATTATTATTATTATTATTATTATTATTAAACTTTATTTGTACCCCGCTAGCATCTCCCGAGGGACTCGATGCGGCTTACAAAGGCCAAGGCCTTAACACAACAGCAGTAAAACACAAAACAATACAAAACAAAGCAAATTAAAAACATAAGCAATAGCAAGACATTACACTATTACACAATAAAAACCATGGCCGGGCCAGTGATGGGTACAGGTTAAAAAAGTGCTGGGTGTGACAGGAGGTATATTGAGATTCTGGGCAAGTGCCATGTGCAGAGAGTCTTAACTCTAGTAAAGTGCTTCTGGGACAAAGTGCTGGGTCATCCTATTCTGGAAAGGCACGTCGGAATAGCCAGGTCTTCAAATTCTTCCTAAAGACTGCCAACGTGGGTGCTAGTCTAATGTCTTTGGGGAGGTCGTTCCAAAGTCGGGGGGCAACCACAGAAAAGGCCCTGTCCCTCGTCCCCACCAAACGCGCCTGCGACGCAGGTGGGATCGCAAGCAGGGCCTCTCCAGATGACCGAAGGGAGCGTGTGGGTTCATAAACGGAGATGCGGTCACGAAGGTAGGCAGGTCCCAAACCGTTTAGGGCTTTGTAGGTTAATACCTGCACCTTGAATTGGGTTCGGTAGGTAAATGGCAGCCAATGGAGCTCCTTGAACAGGAGGGTTGACCTCTCTCTGTAAGGAGCACCAGTTAACATCCTGGGCCTGCCCGTTGGACCAGTTGGAATTTCCGAGCCGTTTTCAAGGGCAGCCCCACGTAGAGCGCATTACAGTAATCCAATCTAGACGTGACTAAGGCATGGACCAATCAGCCTTCGCGAGGTACGGTCGCAGCTGGCGCACCAGTCTTAACTGTGCGAAAGCCCTCCCGGACACCGCCGATGCCTGAGCCTCAAGCGTAAGTGATGAATCCAGAAGAACTCCCAAGCTGCGGACCTGTGATTTCAGGGGGAGTGCAACCCCATCCAGCACAGGTTGCCACCCTATACCCCGATCCGGTTTACGATTGACCAGGAGGACCTCTGTCTTGTCGGGATTGATCTTCAGCTTGTTCTCCCTCATCCAGATAGCCACAGCGGCCAGGCACTCGTCTAGCACTCGAGGGGCCTCCTTGGAATTAGGTGGAAAGAGTAGTAGAGTTGTGTGTCATCTGCATAGAGATGGCACCCAACTCCAAAACCCCGGATGACCTCTCCCAGCGGTTTCATGTAGATGTTAAAAAGCATGGGAGACAGAATAGAGCCTTGCGGGACCCCACAGGTCAAAGGCCAGGGGTCCGAGCAGGCATCTCCCAGCTTCACCATCTGGGATCGACCCTCCAGGAAGGACCGGAGCCACAACAGAACCGTGCCCCCGAGACCCATCCCAGAGAGCGTCCCAGAAGGATACCATGATCGATGGTATCGAAAGCCGCTGAGATGTCCAAGAGAACCAACAAGGTCACACTCCCCCTGTCCAGCTCTCTACGGAGGTCATCCACCAAGGCGACCAAGGCTGTCTCGGTGCCGTGACCAGGCCTGAAACCAGACTGTGACTGATCTAGGTAGTTGATGTCATCTAGAAAAGCCCTGGAGCTGGGAGGCGACCACCCGCTCCAGCACCTTGCCCAAGAAAGGGAGGTTGGAGATCGGTCTGAAGTTGTTAAGCATCGTGGGATCGAGGGAAACCTTGAGAAGTGGGCGAACCACTGCCTGTTTCAATTGAGATGGAAAAACCCCCTGTTCCAACGATGCATTAATGATCAACACAAACCAATCTACCAACCCCTCCCTGGCAGATTTGATTAGCCAAGATGGGCATGGGTCTAGAGCTGATGTGGTCGCCCTCACAGCCCCAAGGACCTCTTCCACGGTCTCAGGAAGAACAAGCCTAAAAGAATCCCACAAAATTGGACAAGCAGATGCCTCAATCACCTCCCCTGGACCTGTGGTGAAATTGGAGTCCAGCTCAAGACGTATCTGAGCAACCTTGTCTGCAAAATGGTGCGCGAACTCGCGACACCAAGTTGCTGGGTCATCAAAGGACTCCTCCACCACCGGAGGATGAAGGAGTTCCCCGACAACTAGGGCAGTAGTTTTCAACCTGTGGGTCCCCAGGTGTTTTGGCCTACAACTCCCAGAAATCCCAGCTGTTAGGATTTCTGGCAGTTGAAGGCCAAAACATCTGGGGAGCCACAGGTTGAGAACCACTGAGCTAGGGTCATAGATAATGTATCAAACTGTGCATCATCTATGACCCTAGCTCAGTGGTTCTCAACCTGTGGGTCCCCAGATGTTTTGGCCTTCAACTAGCTGTAGTTCAAGATTTTGAAAAGTTACTTTCTTGGACTACTGCCAAGAATCAAGATAGGGATTCTGAGAGGTATATTAAAATAATCATCGTCATTTTGAATTTTATAACAACTTCCGTATGCCTGAAAGCCACCCAAGATTTGAAGAATTTCGATTGGACCTTTTCTCGTCATATGGTGAAATGTTCACCTGGAAAGGGCTGTGCTTTCTAATCATGGTCTTCAGATCCAGCAATACACTTTTTTATAGATAAAAACTCTTTCTTTCCCCTGTTTTCTTTCATGTCCTAATTCTAGACTTCTGTTTTTGCTTTTACAGTTCACCCAAAAGCCACACCTTACAAAGTTGGCCTCAGATTGATTTCAAAGCACAGGGTTTGCAAAGTGCCTCAAATAAAACTAGAAGTCACATCTTTTTGTCTTTCAAAATATCCATTATGGATATTTTGGAGTTTACTGTCTCCTTTTGTTTATAATTCAACAGCTTTAATTGTCATTAAAAGTAGATGTGGTTCTGCAAGTTCCTTCCTCTGAAATATAGCTTATAGCACTTGTTATTACTTGTTGGTCATCCAAGTATTAACCAGAACTGTTGAGGCTGCTGAGCTTCCAAAATCAGGAAGAATCAGGTGCTTTTAGGGTATTTATGACCCATACAGACCCAGTGAAGAAAGGAAAAGAAGACAAGCGGGACATTATGCCACTATGCCTTAAATATACAGATCCTTAGGAGTCCCCGGTGGCGCAGTGGGTTAAAGCACTGAGCTGCTGAGCTTGTTGACTGAAAGGTCGCAGGTTCGAATCCAGGGAGAGGCGTGAGCTTCCGCTTTCAACCCCAGTTTCTGCCAGCCTAGCAGTTCGAAAACATGCAAATGTGAGTAAATCAATAGGTACCGCTCCAGCAGGAAGGTAATAGTGCTTCATGCAGTCATGCTGGCCACATGACCTTGGAGGTGTCTATGGACAACGCTGGCTCTTCGGCTTAGAAATGGAGATGAGCACCACACCCCAGAGTCGGACACAACTGGATTTAGTGTCAGGGGAAAACCTTTACCTTTACCTTTACCTATGATATATTTTGCCTTGTGGCATGTAGTCTCCTCCTCCTCCTGATTATAAATGATGTACATCAGGACATGCTCTAGTCTGAGTTTGTTGGCTGTTACTATTATTTTGTTTGATTTTTTTTAAACAAAAATAGTTCCTGTGTGACTCAGGTTTAATCTTCTATGTCTCTTGTACACTCTTTTTTATTTTTGGTCCCCCCTCAAGTTGTTGCAGAATCTGACTTTGTGAAATATGAAGGAAAGTTTGAAGACTACGTCACAGGAAGCATTGAAACTTCATTCGGAAGAATTAATCTGGGAGCTGGAGGAAGAGGTGTTGTGAAAAGCCAATCATCTTTTGGAAATCTGAAAAAGCAAGAAGCCGATTTGCAACACCTTTTGAAGGATGTCAAAGGAAGGTAGAAATTAAGCTGTAGAGTTGTTTTTATATATATTTGAAAATTAATCGGGGTTTTAAAATATATAATAGAGAACTGATTCAGCATTATTGCCACAGACGGACAAAGACTCATCTGTATTGAAATACAATGTCTGCCTGTATTTCCTGTACTTTCTTTTGATTTAAAAAAATCTGGAAGCAAAACAGAAGATGGCCACCAATTTATGTAGCCAGTTAAATACTTTGTATGTTATATAAAATTCAAAATAGTTTCCATAATAATATAATAGACATATAAAAGATAGTGTATGAAAGTAGACTGTATGTTGAAGATATTGTTCATGGAAGATTTTAAATCATTGCCAGCTGAAATGGATATCGACAGCAACAATCCTCAGATATTCATAGTTTAAATTCAACACTGTATCTCCATAGTGAAGCAGATCAAAAATGTAATGTAGGCTCCAAAGCTACAAATACTGGTCTCATTTTTATATATATTGTGATTAGCCTAATATGTTTTCAGCACCAGAGATGGCAGGATTTCATCAAATGAGTTCAAAAAAATTGATGGTTCTAAACTTTATACCACAGATTTAAAAAGAAAATGTGGCATTTTAATCAGACAGGTTGATATTAAGTAAAAATCCTTTAAGAAAACATGTCAGCTTCCATTTTAGCAGATATAAATATAAATCTTTCAAATGCCCATTGTTGAAACTTGTGTCTAATCATATGAGGCTGTGTTGTGAACATACTGGGTGGGGACATAATACATAAATATATTTAATTTTGATTAGTGTGTTCACCAGCAAATGGTTTTTTCTGCCATCATAACAGATTGTTTATGTGCATGTAGGATGTGAGCAATACTTTAGCAATGGAGTTTTCAACTTTGAAGATTCCGAGGGAAAGTCAAAAATAAAAGTTATGATGGAAAAGCTGAATTCACCCTGTGTCACATTTCATCAAATCTAAGGAGCACCTTTTCCCATTTAAGGGTGCCATTTAGATTTGATAGTGCCTTAGATCCGTTTGTTTTTGTTTTTTCAAACTATCTTACCTCTGAGAGGGAGGAGGAAAGAGCCGCAGCCCCAAAAAACTCTGTGAGCCTCCACTATTTTGTCCAGCTAGGAGCCCCCGGTGACACAATTGGTTAAACTCTTCTTCCAGCAGGACTGCTGACCAACAGGTTGACGGTTCAAATCCAGGGAGTGGGGTGCGCTAGCTTCTCATACAGGGACTTGAGAGAAACCTCCCACAGGATGGTAAAACATCAAATATCCAGGCATCCCCTGGGCATCATCCTTGCAGACAGCCAGTTCTTTCACAACAGAAGCAACTTGCAGTTTCTCAAGTTGCTCCTGACACACACAAAAAAAAATCTGTCTGAGCTAAGCGCTGCATCCTGTTTTCCCTGCCTCCCCAAAAGGCCCATAGATACTGGCGAAACATCAGTAGAGAATGTTTCTAGAACATGGCCACACAGCCCAAAAAACCTACAACCCAAGCCCATAGATTTTGTGAAATAGGCTCATGTAGATAACTTGCGGGTTTCTTCACACTCCTTCCTCATCCCATAAGAAATATTCCACTACCAAGCCACTTTGAAACCAACCAACCAACCAACCATCAAATGTATTGTGTGTGCAGAGGACATTCTAATTTCCCCCTAAAAGTGAAGCTTCAAAAGCATGGTGTGCCATACATTTCATAGTGCCTTAGATTTTGTGAAATGCTTTTACTTTGAGAGAAATGTAAAATGTTGTACTGTCATGGCCTGGAAAACTATCGAACCAAGCTGTGAAGCTTTCTAAGAGTGTCAGGGGAAAAGAAAGAGAAGGCAAGAGCAAGCCTGAAATTAATCCACTGGAAAGCTGTATTTTGGATTGGATTAATAGGAGAACTAACAGAGGACTTGGCTTGGTGGAATGTGACAGAGGATTAGCCTGTTGCTCTCTGGTCTTGTTAGCTCCATCGTGAGAGGACAAAACTTGGCATCATAAAATCACAGCCAGTCTTTTTGATGGAAGGGAATTGTGTAGCTGTTAATTGTCCCACTCCAGTTCTCAGGGGTTGGTGGTGGAGGGATTCCAGAAACAAGATTTGGAGTTCACTCGCTGCTCGCATTTCCACTGCTATAGTTATCTGCCATGGGGATTTGAAAACTAGCACAGATTGTTTTCCCTCCATCCTGCCCCCTCTCTTGGTGCATACTTCGTATCCAACGGAGTAGGAATAGGATTGTTGCTTAGAGTTGGACTTAAAATGGATTACCTTTGTAATCATATTCAATGAAGAGGTTGAAATGGTCAGACAGAATGAATGCCATGTCTGTATCTTTTGAAAAAGAGGATTGTAATGTACATTATCTAGTATAAGTAATACATATTTGAAACTTCAAGAGGAAGAAAATAGATGGCAGAAGAAAAGGGTTAAGCATCCGCATCTCACACATGAATCCCCAGCTGCTTCAAACATTACCCCCTGAAGCTATTTTTCTTTGGGTAAAGAGTCCATGTGGGATTTGTTAGGAATGTTCTCATCTAATATATAGTTCAGGCTTTCAAATCTCTTTCAAGCAGTGGAAAGAGCAAAGGCCAGATTACTCAACTGTACAAAATAATATCTTGGTTTCCAGATTTGTCCATAGTTTGAAAGCATAGCGCATTTTCTAGGCACTCTAGCTGTTAATGTGAAAAAATCTGGTGTAATAGATGTGGTTAGTCAACAGAGTGCTATTTAATGAGATTTCTTGACTAGAAGATACCCTTCTCTATAGAGAGTAATCCTACAATCTTCTTTTAAAAAGTTACTTACATTTTTCAAACACATTAGGGCCTGATCACACCATCATTAACATCATTATATATAACAGAGAGGACTGCCTGCTCCTCTGCAGACCTGCCTGCTTGTTAGATTCATAAGTCATGTTGGAGGTTATATTACTGGAAAAACAGAATGGACATTAGAAATGTAACGACATCTTGCTGAAATGAAGCAAAGCAAACTTTATAGGAAAGTTGAGTTGGTGTTAGCTGTGCTCCATGTGTTTCTAAACCATGATTTGGAAGTGGAAGAAGATGTAAATATATGAGGGATGTTTATTTATTTACTGTATTTGTACCTCGTCCTTCTCACCCCAAATGGGCCTCAGCACGGCTTACAAATAGGCAACCATTAGATGCCACAAAATATATATCCAATAAAAATACACAATGAAACCAAAACGTTAAAAACATATTAACTCAATTATTAAAACCAATTATTAAAACCACACAATTCAAAATCATAGTCCAAACCCATTCCAGTAGTCACTGCATTATTTTGTATTCAGTTCTTCCACTGAAAAAAATTATTGTCCAAAAGTTTGTTCCCACATCCATGTTTTCAGTTTCTTTCTGAAGGTCGGAAGGGAGGAAGCTGATCTGATTTCACTGGGGAGGGAGTTCCACAGCCAAGGAGCCACCACTAAGAAGGCCCTGACTCTCCTCCCCACCAACCGTACATGTGAAGGAGGTGGGGCCGAGAGCATCCACAGCAAATCTTAATCTCTGTGGTGGTTCATCGAGGGAAATCTGTCTGCCGCCGGTTGGACCACTTGAAGCTTCCGAACAGTCTTCAAAGACAACCCCATGTAGAGCACGTTGCAGTAGTATATTTGGGATGTAAGAAGAACATGGATATATTTGGTCTTTTGTCTTATATCTAATTGTTAGACCAAATATGATAAACCTGTTGAATAGATGACACTTCAATAGGGAAACATTTATGAAAATCTCACTGATTCAATGGATGTGTTCCGCTTAGGACTCAAAGGGTTTGCCACTAAAGAATAAATAGTTTATCACCGTGTTCTCGATGTAATAACTAAGTGTATTTTTCTTAGCAAAACTTTTAATGTGTTTCATCTCTTTTTATTCTTCAGAGCGATAAACATACAACATACCTTGCTGCAACAAATGCTTGAAAGAAAGCATGAAGTTCTTTGTATCCTGACAGAAAGAATAGTAACAACTCAGAAATGTTTAATATCTGAGCATGTTCAGACAGAGGAAAAAATCGCCAGCATGGTGGGGATCAGCACAAAAGTTATAAAGGTAAGAGAGGATCCATTAAGGTTTATGATTAACAGTATTTGTCCCTGTAATCATGTTGCTTTCCTGATGCTGTCCTTACCAAATGTGCATCGATCCCAGTAAGGACCAATTGTTTTAGGGTGCATCTTCACTGAAGAATTATTGGAGTTTTATACTACTTTGGCGGCCATGGCTCAGTGTTATGGAATTTTGGGATAGTTTTGTGAGGCACCAGCACAATTTGGCAGAAAAAGCTAGAGATATTGTAAAGTTACAATTCCCATGAAAAAGGCCGCTTTCACCAATAAACAGTAGTATCACACTCCCCAAGTCTCTTGAAAGGATCTACTTCTAAACAAAGTGCATGATGAACATTGTTCTTGTCTTAAAAGAAAAAAAACACTGGGAAAAGGATTGCCACTACTGGAGTGAATTTGGGTGTGGTGCAAAGATTGTGACTTCCTACTATTGTGGCACAGCGGGTTAAACCACTGAACTGCTGAACTTGCTGACCAAACGAATCCGGGGACTGGGGTGAGCTCCCACTGTTAGGCCCAGCTTCTGCCAAACTGGCAGTTTGAAAACATGCAAATGTGAGTAGATCACTAGGTACTGTTTCTGTGAGAAGGGAACAGCGCTCCATGCAGTCATGCTGCCCACATGACACTGGAGGTGTCTACGGACAATGCCAGCTCTTCAGCTTAGAAATGGAGATGAGCACCACCCCTCAGAGTTGGACATGACATATCAGGGGAAACCTTTACTTACTATATGTTTCAATCTCTTGGAAGTTGCTCATTCTTGGGACCTTAGAGTTGGAAGGTACAACAAGGGCCATCTAATACACTTTTTAAGCACGTTTGAAATATGGCAATCCAAGCCTTGTTTGAAGATCTCCAAAAAAGAAGCACCAACTTTCTGAACCACTCTGTTCCACTGTTGAAGATCTTTTCCGAGTAGGAAATTCTTCCTAATGTTGAGATTAAGTCTCTATTCTTAACACTCGGAGAGGATATATTGAAGATGGAGCAAGCTTGTGTGCTGCTACTGTAAGGACTATGGAACAATGATTCAAATTGCAGAGGAGAAAATTCCATCTGATTATTAGGGAGAACTTCTTATCATTAAGAGCTATCAGACAGTGGAATACTCTGCTCCTCAGAGTGTGGTTCAGTTTCCTTGGGGTGTTTTAAAACAGAAGCAGGATGGCTATCTGTTTGATTGTGTTTTGAATGACAAGTGGTAAGACTGGGTGGCCCTTATGATTTTTTTCAACTTTGGTTCTGTGAAATCCCTTGATACAAGTTCTAGTCTCTGGAGCAGCAGAAACCAACCTCATTCCATATTCTGCATGACATCTCTCCAGATAGAAATGGCTTTCAGTCAGTGAGATAGGAAATCCACTTTGAGTTTTCATCCAAAGTGACACACTGGCCTTGTTTGGGAAGGATAGCATTCAGCCCCTTGGATAGCTTCTTTAAACATTGGGAGAAGATTGACCGCTAGTTCTCATTGTTCCTCACAATGTCATGTATACATTGCTGTAACATTGGATTAAACAATGTAAATTAAAAAGCAGGTGGATGTCTTCCTCAGGTATCAGTGAGTGAAGATGGGAATGTGATTAAGGATTCTAATGTGATCCTGGAGATCCCAGCTCCCACAGCTATTGCTTATGGTGTGATAGAACTGTATATAAAACGTGATGGTCAGTTTGGTAAGTAATATGTCTCTTTTCCCTCTTCTTTCCCTGAGCAATGCCAGGCTTTTGTGTGTGTGCAAGAATTAGACTATGAACAGCCAATCAAGTCATTTGCTGTCCTCTGTGTTTTGAATAAAGTTATAATACATCAATATAGGGCATTGGAAGGGCACATGGCTGTTCAAATGTGCTGTTTTGCTAGATTTGAAAATGCAGCTGGCAGTTGAGAGGTGACTGTGAACTTGGAGGGATATGCACATAGTTGTTGCTTATATGTTACAAAATCATCTCTGCATCATCATAAATAAGCAAACATATTAGTGACACAAAGCCTTAGTCCCCAGCAGATCCATCTGTCATAATCAGTCTAGTTCTTTCAGTGGCTGTAATCCATTGTTGCTCATCCACCATCTGTTTTCATGCTGGCACTTGTCTGAGATGTCTTTTCAATGGTTTTTTTCTTACTAATCCTCTGAAGTACATTTTCCATGCCCTGCAACTGTGTTTTTTGAGTTTGATTTCATTGATAAAATAGGAGAATTGATGTCCTTGCCTGAAATTTCCCAAATTTTATGAATTACTTTCCCATACTTCAATTTGAAATAAATATGGCAATACAGCAATAATATGTACTGCTTCCACATATACACATAGATTAATATCAAACATTAAAAGCTCAGTTTTGAGTGCAGCATTCCTGGGTTCATTGCTCTCTCTTTTTTGCTATTGCTCTTGTTTCTGTACAGGATAGTTTAATATTTGATTATCTTATCTTTGAAAGCTCATAAAAGACAAATGTCTTTGCTATTTCACTTTGCCCCTCCTAGTTTCTATATTACAGGTGAGAGTGTTAATGAGAAACTAGTGGGACCTGTTGTCTACACAGCCTCACCTTCTGTGATGAATGGCAAGCAGATGGAGCATGCCATAGAGCAAACCAGACATTCCCCGATATTCAGATGGTCACACCCTGCTGCCAATAGATTTATGGAATAAGCATAAATCAGCTACGAAATATATAAGACCAGGTTGTTCCCTCTGTTCAAGGACAACTTGACCTACAACTCATAGAACCACTCTGAGTCCCTTCTGGGCAAGAGGGTGAGGTATAAATAGAGTATTATTATTATTATTATTATTATTATTATTATTATATTTTACTGACACAAAAACACAGTATGACACAGCAAACGAGAGACATATACTGGATTTCGTATCACAAAATCACAAGTTGAACACTTCCCAAGCATTTAGGACTGTGTGATATATTTTTGAATGATGCGCGCAGATCCAAGTAAGGTGGCCTTTTGCAGTTGACAGATCGTGATTTTGTCAATATGTATTGTTTCCAAATACTGACTGAGCTCTTTTGATATGGCACCCAGTGTGCCGATTACCACTGGGACCACCTGTACTGGTTTATGCCAGAGCCTTTGCAGTTCGATTTTGAGGTCCTGATAACGGCTGAGTTTTTCCTGTTGTTTTTCCTCAATGCGACTGTCACCTGGTATGGCAACGTCAATAATCCAAACTTTTTTCTTTTCCACAATCGTGATGTCTGGTGTATTGTGTTCCAAAACTTTGTCAGTCTGGATTCGAAATTCCCACAGTATTTTTGCATGTTCATTTTCCACTACCTTTGGAGGTTTATGATCCCACCAGTTCTTTACTACTGGCGGGTGGTACTTGTGGCGTAAGTTCCAATGAATTATTATTATTATTATTATTATTATTATTATTATTATTATTATAGAATCTCAAAGCTAGCATAGCTGCCAGCCATGCCAGATTTGAGATTCTGGGAGTTATAGTCCTAAAAAGGAACTTCTCCAAGCTCTAGGCCAGTGGTTCTCAATCTTTGAGTCCCAAGGTGTTTTGGCCTACAACTCCCAGAAATCCCAGCCAGTTTACCAGGTGTTAGGATTTCTGGGAGTTGAGGGCTAAAGCCTTTGGGGACCCACAGGTTAAGAACCACTGCTCTAGGCCTTGCTGATCTCTGCTCTGTGCCTGACAGCTTCAGTCTAAAAATAATTTGTCCTCACGCTATGCTCATAAAAATGATATTGATGTGCAGTAATGTTTTATGACAGCAAACTGTAAGGGATTATCACATTTATCATGCTTTATCAGGTTTTTCCCTATTCAGCAGTTTATCTTCCTATTGAATTCCAAAATACACAGCAGCAGAGCTCTGGATTTATGAAGTTTTATTTAATGACATACCATGTCTACCATTCTGCCACAATCTTTGAATATTTCTTTTCACAGTCTTCACGATTTCACAGTGATTTACTTGTATAGCCTCACTAATACAGCCTCTTTCAGATGGCCACAATGCATATGGAAACTGTGTTGAATATGCCTGCTCACATCTGACACATTTTACACTCACAGGGCACTTCTAATTTCTTGGTAGATCATGTTTAATACAAAGGTGCTTTCCTTAATCAAGTGATTATGTGCGTTCTTTGAATAGCCTGTGTTCCTATAATACAGACCATGTCTTTTTTCTGGATGCTTTATAGTTCTATAAATACTTACTACCATTCTGAACAAGGAGGAGTTACTTTTTGAGGACTGCTCATGAAATGGTACTCTGGGGTTCTGGTGATTGTCCAAGAAAGTAACTTCCAGGTTGTGTCACAGTGTCTAAGGTTTTCCATATGTGCTATGTCATCTATGAGTACTACCTTAGAACATGCAGTGCCTTTTTTAGAACCAAAGAACTGTAATCACACATATTGGATTAAGAAAAATAGGGATATTCTTATATTGGCTGCTGTTGCCACACATACGAGAGTGAGTCAAAAATGATCTGCACTCTGGCTGTGGAACAGATTTTAATCAACTTTCAGAAAAGACAAATCTTCCTGCTTTTCAATACATTTTGTCCATCTGTCAACAAGCTTTTGTATTCCCTTATTAAATATGTTTTAGGCTGAGCTGCGAGGCCTGAATGCTTACTTACTTTACCGATCCCTCATTATCCAAGTATGATGGCCTTCCAAGTGTAAGGTCTTGGCGGTGGATCTGAAGGTGGTTGTGGAGCCCTATTCTTGACCCACATGTTCTTCCACGGTGAGGCCATCAGTTTCCAGGTGAAAGGTGGTCCCGGTCAGGGTTGACTTGATGGGCCTTCCTCTTGGCACATTTCTCTCTTTTACCCTCCATTCATGCCTCTTCAAATTCCACAGCCCTTCTGGTCATACCTGACCTCCAGCTAGAGTGCTCAAGGGCCAGGGCTTCCCGGTTCTCGGTGTCTATGCCACAGTTTTTAAGATTAGCTCTACGCTTTAAATCTCTTTTCCTGTCCACCAACATTTCACTTTCCATTCTTGAGTTGGGAGTATAGTAACTGCTTTGGGAGATGGTGATTGGGTAATTGGACAATGTGGCCAGTCCAGCAGAATTGATGGTGTAGAAGCATCACTTCAGTGCTGGTGGTCTTTGCTTCTTCCAGCATGCTGACATTTCTCTGCCTGTCTTCCCAAGAGATTTGCAGGATTTTTCAGGGGCAACACTGATGGAATTGTTTCAGGAGTTGAGTGTAACGTCTGTAGATATGTGCCCAACAGCAGTTTTAATATAACTGGTGTGCGGATATTTTTTGACTCACCCTCTTAGTACTGAAATTTGGTTATCCTTTGGTTACCCACTGCTGAGAGAGCCAGGTGAAAAGATCTTTCTGGGATGGTGGCGTTTTTCTCAAGGTGAAGGTCTCAGGTCTAAATGTCTCATCCTTTTATCTGTAATTCCTGAAACTCCTTTTAATGCCTGGATGAATACAGGAGTTTAGGAGGAGAATGTAGGCATGGAAACTAACTTGAAAACTTGGAACATTATTAGATATTATTGCCCTTGAAACCGGAGTTAATTTATTGGTGTCACCAATATCTTTCCTTTCCATTATTCACAAGCAACTCTTGTTAGCAGAGGCAAAAAAATCCCCTGCCAGGGTCTCATTACTCTTGGGGAAAGCTTTGATTTGCATTATTCTTTTTCTCTTGCTGTGCGTTTTGCCTTGGTCTCTGAGGGTTTTTAGTATGCTAACAACTCCATTAACAACTGCTTTCTTCTTTCCCATTCTGTAACACAGAGGGTGTCCGTTTGTCTGTGTCCTTACAGACTTCTTCACTTCTTGAAATGCTTCTTTTCAGTCACTCTGTTTGTGCTTTACCTTCCCTTTTAATGATGCCCTCAATTTAGTCAGAAGTTGTGGGAATGTTGAATAGTTATATTTAAATTCTGAACATGAGTTGTGAAGAGTACTTTGATAGTTAACATGTCTCTGTCCACGTGACATTTATTCTTAAATAGTCTGTTGTTATCCCTATGTGGATTTCATTACAGTTTTGCAAGAGTGTTGTGGATAGAGTTTAGGGAATCACTGACCCCTCGCTCCTCTCACATGTTTTAACATTGCAGGGATTACAAACACAAGACCAACATTATTAAGTTGGCTCTAATGCAGTGATCTCCAGGTGTTTTGGCCCACAACTCCAGAAATCCCAGCCAGTTTACTAGTTGTTAGGATTTCTGGGAGTTGTAGGCCAAAATACCTGGGGACCCACAGCTTGATTGATAACCACTGCTCTAAGCAGAGACTGGGCAGCCATCTATCAGGAAAGGTTCTTGTTCCGGATTTCCTAGAACCGAGTCTCTTTCATTGCTATTATTTGAGGCAAAACTTCTTATTTTTCTTTCCTTTTCCAAGATATCAGTGCTAGAATCTGATGGCTGTCAGGGACTTCTAAAGTCTTGTACAATATTTTGGAGAGGCTACCTTTATGCAGAACTTGAATGAGATGGATTACAACTGCCAACATTTTCCAATTGGTATGGCCATGCTGCCTAAGGGGACAATGGAAACTGTAGTTTGAAAAATTAACCTCTCCACTCTCTAGTAAATCATAAAGTGGATTAATGGCCATGCATATCCCCTTCCCTCTTGGTGATGATAATAACAGCAACAACAACAACAACAATAATTCTTACCATCCCCTCTCCATAAAGCTCAAGGGTGGGGGGGGGGGCACAGGATAGAATTAAAATACAATAGATAACTAGAAACATATAAAACCATTTAAAACACATAAATTAAAAATATATAAACATATGATTAAAAGAATTGCACATTAAAATCATCCGTACCTATAAAATGTCAATTTAAAGGTCATTATTTAAAATCGATTGGGTAGATGTGCCAGAAGAGATAGTTCTTTAATGCTCTTTAAAATTCTGATAGCATGTTTAGTTGTCAAACCTCTTCTAGCAGGTCATTCCACAGTCTAGAAGCAGCTGATGAAAAGGTCCTTATAGAAGATAATATCCTACACTGTGAAAGGGCAAATCATTTAGTGTCTACTTCCTTAAGATACCACAGAGCATTCTCTAAAAGCCAGGTGTTTCTTCCCTCAAAGCCTTTTCCAAGCAGCTTGTATGAAAAGTGAAGGAACCATCTATTTCTGTATGAATAGACAGAGGCTGACATCCAGAGCTTGCCTAACCTGGAGTTGTGCAGTCATTTTATAAAGCAAGACAATTTTCAGAATCTTATTCTCTTGCCTTTGTGTGTGGATGGAATAAAAAGGAGCACAGTTGCTGTTAACAAGTGACCTTTCCAGATGTATGTAAGGATACGTGCTCTAAGATGCGCTAATTTCAAGGATCTTTGAATTGCAGCAAGTTTGTTCTTGTCAATTATTTCCTTTATTGTCACTCATGTCAACTCTGTTTTCCCTGAGGAATTTTATTTGACACACAAGAGTCAAAATTACACACAGTGATTGCTCTTTGGGGAATAGCTTGTTTGCAAAAGTTATTTAATTATGCAGTGATATGAATTCTAAGAAGGGATTAACTAGATCATGCAAACCTAATCAAACAGCTGAGGCAAATGAAATATAACTCCATGGACCTGATTTTGATATAGGAAAATCTAACTTGAAGCATTTGAAAATTTGACTTAGGTGATCCCTCATTGTCCGAGTATGATAGCCTTTCAAGTTCTTAGAAGATGCCTGTGTGTGAGTTTTTTTAATGTGTGGAGGTCGGTGCACAGCCGATCAACACACAGTCTTCACAGAGTGAGGGTCCCAACCAGTGGCGTAGTTAATACGATGATGGTGGCTTCTCAATCTGTTGCAGCCTTCTTCTGCCTACACATCTGTTGTAACATGTACTATGTTATCTATCTATCTATCTATTTATTTATTTATTTATTTATATCCCGCCACCATCTCCCCGAAGGGACTCGGGGCGGCTTACAAAGCACTCCAAGGTGCAACATAAAACCGGTAAAAACGGTACAAAAGTATAAAAAGATCACATAAAATCATAACAATCCCCCCCCCCCAAGACCACAATCTTCCACTTGATCCACCGCTGAGGTCTTTGGATTGTGCTCAATCTGGAACCTACCCTGTGGGCCCCCTTGGGTGTTCATGACTCCAGTGGTTACGCCCGCAGGATCATTGGAACATGCAAGCCTCCTCACCTTGTTAAGGTGACAATCCATCCAGTGGGTTGAACTGGGGGGGGGGGGGAAGGTAGGCTGTGGTGACACATGACCGATGCAGACCTATGTGGACTAAATTTTTACTTCTGGGGAAAACGCAACAGTCAAGGATCTGAACCAATCATGAATTTTACAGTTTGTGGAAGGAGCAAAGGAGTGGTGGAGAATTCAAGATGAGAAAAACTCTTCAACTGGGCAGAACTCAAGAGGACGGACTTGGTACAAAATCACCAAGACAAAGGGGACAGATTTGTTTTTGTACCTAAATTCAGTGCTTTCACATCAGTGCCTTTTGTGCAGCCGCCTGCTCTCGATAAGCCTTAAAGATTCAACATTAGGCTGATAGAGAAACAACGTAAGGCATGTAGGAATAAGAACAGCAGATACTAGCAATGACATCAGTTTTCTTGGCCATGGAAGATCTTGAACAATGATTTCAGATTGTTGGTGTGATTGTATAAACAGATAGCAGTGTGAATGATTAGATACAACTGTAGTCCTTTTTCACATCTGTAGATCTGGTTTCATTATCTAGTATATAAAATGATAGTATGGGTTCTCTCATGATAATCCTTACCAGGTTTTTTCCCCCAAATACCAGAGATACCTATGCTAAGTTTTCACACATGTCTACATACAAAAGCTGGCCGAAAGCATTGTGTTTTATGTTTCTGTCTAATTCCAATATATAATCCATCTTTCTTGACAATAAAGCTGTTTAAGGGACTGCATACTATTATATACATACCTGATATATTTAGTAGACATTTGTGTAGACCAGCACACTTTTTATTTTATTTTTTATGTTTCAGAGTTCAAATGTACATTAAGTAAAATAATATGTAATTTAATATCATCTGATCCACAGACTGTTTCTGGGTCACTTAATCGTAACCTTTCTCATTGACAGAATTCTGCCTGCTTCATGAGCAACAGGGTGGTTTTGAAAAAGAGAGTGCAGAAGAAAGATCTTTTCCATCTGTAGCCTTCAGGGATAGTCTCTTCCCCCATATCCTAGATGCTGTCGATAATGAAAAACAGTCTGATCCTGAAAACCTTATCCCTAGTGATGCTTCACTAAGCATTTTGACCAAAGGTAGGAAAGCACAAGTCTTAACTAATGCACCGGGGAAGTGGGGGGGGGGGGGGGGTTGTTATCATAATAATATAATTTGAAATTAACTTGTTCCAATCTTTAAAAATATGAGTGTTCTACTGGACAGTGGGTAGGTGGGGCTGATTACACAACTTTTTTTTTCTTGGCCTTAGTCTGTGGTGTTTAATGTTGATGATGAGATCATGGAAAGGACAAATGGATAACAAGTGCCTTGTTTGAACAGGCACTTACTTACTGGGGTTGCTTAACCAATCCATAAATATCTCATACCCCTGAGTTAGAATGAGCGCATGACCCATTCTGATTGAATTCTCCTTCTCCAAGCCTCCTTTTAATCCCTTAAATTAGTTTTACAGGAGAGTATGTGAAACATTTGTGCTCTTCTTTTGGAGGCTGGGAATAAACTAAATGAAACTGGGTTTAATGTCAGCTGTCAGTTAGGTTTACATGCTCCTTTTTCTTCCTTAGATTTTTGAGTATTTTATGTCAGTATTGTCTTTGGGCTCTCCAAAACATGGAAAAGAAAGGGGGCTTTTAAAACTCACCTCCATGTTTTTGGACTGCTTGCCTGTGTCTATGTTTTCTCTAGGAGCAGTTGTTTTTACAAAGTACAATACCGACCTTGACCCTAAAAACCTGCGAAATTACGTAATAGCAAGATTCAATGTTTCTGAAATATGTACCTTTTGTTCTACTTGGAAGGTACATTGTCTCTTGCCACGAACATAATTATGAACTATTTTGGTTGTAGTGCATTCCTGCCAATTTTTTTCAAATTAATAATGTTTTTCAGCTGCATGCATGGAATAGCAATTCCTGAGAGCATTTGTTGCACAGCATGGACACATTTTCTTAATTAAATTTCTCAGCAGAGACATACTAAGCATCTTGACCTAAAGGCTCATGTTTTTCCCGAATGAGTGCCGTGTTCAAGGAACAGCAGAGAGCAATATATATACAGAATTCTCTACCTGGACAGAATCTGGAAGTTGTAGTCCAAAAGTAACATTTCCCAGCTCTAGAAAATCTGCCATTTTGCAATAACAGAATTATTTATTTATGTCTTTATTTTTTTTAAATAGAAAAATAGGTGGAAAGTAGAACTATACCATGGTATGCAGATAAATTAGGAGTATGTTTATTGAAATACCAATGTGACTGGCAAATACCTGTGCGATTGGCCCTCCTTCCATATTGCATGAGTCTATTCTAAATATATGCCCAAAAAATAAATACTGGACCACTCTAAGAGCTACCATGTCAGACTACACAGAGACACCATTGAAATCCACAAGCATCTAGACAATTTTAACAGAAAGAAGAAAACCATGAAAATGAACAAAATCTGGCTACCAGTATTTTAAAAACCCTCTAAAATCAGGGCAGTAAATAAATAGGAATACTAAAAAAAAGGGGGGGAATTCCTGACATGAAATAATCAGGGCTAGCTAACACCTCCCAACAAAGGACTCCCCCAGACAGCAATCGGCCAGGCTTTGAAGCTGCAAGGCCATTCAATGCTAATCAGGGTGGCCAATTGCAACATTCACACTTGCCTCAAGCAGACAAGAGTTCTCTCTCTCACCCCGGATATATAAATCTCATTTGCCTAGTTTCCAACACACCTCACAACCTCTGAGGAGGCCTGCCATAGATGGGGGTAAAATGCCAGGAGAGAATGCTTCTGGAACATGGCCGTACAGCCTGGAAAACTCACAGCAACCCATATGCTCAACTGCATTCTAATTGCACTTGAACCAAATCTGAAGCTTTGCTTTTTCCATTCAGTCACATGGTACACTATTTTTTTTCTTCAAAACGAGTATCACTCAGATATATCATGGGCTTTGAAAAAGTACACTGAGACAAAGATTCATGTTGCATAGCATTTGAATTTGGGCACACTATGCCAGTATTCATCATACATTTCCTGTAAATTCAACAGTTTGCTTTCTTGGGAACAGGGCTCATATTTTACATTTGTTCTTAAAATACATGCTGAATTTAAAAAAAAAATCCCACGTGCACCCTAAGGAACAGTTTTTTTCTTGTGAATGAAACACAAACTTTCCTGCGGGAAAACTCAGAAGTGCAATCTTAAATAGTAAAGAGTAAGTAATGAAATGGCATGAGATGGGGTTTACGCTGCACCAAGGTTTATTTTACAGGAAATAATACATCTATACTGTTGTGGTTTGGAATTATATTTAGTCATGCTCTAAGTAAATTGCTTCATGACTTGAATCATGGTTGATTAATTGCTGACAGCAACTTCCACCTTAGAAAAGCTGTTGGCATGATTTCTACCCATTTGACTTGTCCTTTTTGTCTTTCAAAGATGTCTTACACATAAAGACCCAATTCCAGCCTTTTGTGAAGCTTTCCGAGGAAAACCAGGACGCCTTATACCGAATACTCTGTGAACTTCTGCTTCGCGAAGAAGTTGTGACTCAATTGGAGGATGTGGTAATTTTTACTCCATACATATGTACATGCTGTTTCTTTATCCTTCAAGTAGCCTCATTAAAATTACTAGAGGTCGTTATTCTTTGCGTAGACACATTGAAATAAGTAGAATTTAAGTTAGGCATCATCAGAAGCAATCTTTTTGATTTATAAGACAGGAAGGTTGCTTCTGATTTTAGTTTAAAACCCACTTATTTCAATGAGTCTGCTCGAAGAATGACTGCTTCTAGCCCTAATGCAATGTGTGTATTCTATTTTGTTTTGCAGCTGGACAATATATGTTCTGCAGACAATCCAGAACTTGTAGTCATGCCAAACTTAAAGCCTCCAGAAAAAACTACTATAGAAGAATTCTTACAACATCTTGGAATCAGTTTACTCAAGAAAGAGTTGAAGCAGAAAGTTCCTCCACTTCAGAATAAGGAACTCCTCTTAGCTGCTCACTTTCTCCTCAGTGCTGTGGCAGGTACAGAATGAGAAATTACCATCTATCGTGTTAAGGTCAGCCTTTGCACACAGCTTGTTTTGCTCTTTGATGCTGGTATTTATCAGAGGACAGAAGCAGATTGTTTCATTTACATAGAGCCTTGTTCAGTAGACTGTTGAACAGTTTATCAGACTGGCTGAGACGTCAATGAAAACACAAGGTGCTGCATAGTTTAAGCACATAAAATGCAGCTTTGTGCTGTAAGTCACTCCTCCCCAACTAGCATTGAATGGAGGCTTTCTCCCTTATATTTGCAGGGTGATTACTATTCTCATTGTGTACTGAGCTCATTTGCCATTGCTAGCTGAGAGGCGCATCAATGGTTCAAGCTTTCATGTGAGGCTTCTGGCATAATTTATAATATTTTTAGAGTGCAAATGCCATCTTCACAATAAACATGGCAAGATGGTACTGAAGTTAGAAGGTCATTGAATTACCAAAGGAAAAGGAGGATGGTTAGAAACCATGGTTAGAAGTTGATGCTAGTAATGGTAAAGGTTTCACCCTTCACATTAAGTGAAGTCGTGTCTGACTCTGGGGAGTGGTGCTCATCTCCATTTCTGAGCCGAAGAGTCAGTGTTGTCCTTAGATGCTTCCTAGGTTATATGGCCGGCATGACTCCATGGCCAGCATGAAGGTCGGCGGTTCAAATCCGGGGAGCAGGGTGAGCTCTGCTGTTAGGCCCATTCTGCCAACCTAGCAGTTCAAAAACATGCAAATGTGAGTAGATCAATAGGTACCACTTTGGCATGAAGGTAACGGTGCTCCATGCAGTCATGCTGGCCACATGACCTAGGAGGCATCTACGGACAATGCCGGCTCTTCAGCTTAGGAATGGATATGAGTGCCACCCCCCAGAGTTAGACACGACTAGACTTAATGTCAAGTGGAAACTTTTACCTTTTATTGTACTTGAGTTTAGCTCAGGGCTAGGACCTAGGCCATCCTACTGCATTGATGTCTACAAACTTGCCCATTTCACTAGTAAAGCAAAGGTAGTCCCTCTCTATCCTTCTTAAAGATGTTGTACCTCTTATTTCTTTTCGACAGAACTCTCTGATTATGCCCTTGTTCTTCTACGTGCCTGTTGTGATCTTCAGGTTCTCCGTATACTGTGTCGCTTGGTAAGTTCTTTCCATATGAGTATCCTGAATGACATCGCAGCTGGTTTTTGGCATTGTGTGGCCATGACACAGCCTTCTCCAACTGTCTTTGGGATATGCATTTCATTCAGCTTTGGAAACAATGTGACCACAAACGAAGAGTGATAACTACAGGCTTTGATGTCATTGTCAGCTCTGCATTTTAATCCAGACTTTAAAGTAGCTATCCAAGGTGCTAAACTCTATCACCCAAATTAGCTCCTTTCAACTACAACCCAGATTCAACACTCCACTGAAATGGGAGCATTTAAAAAAATACTTCTATATGCCAGGAATTTCCAGAGTTGGGAATTGGTAGGCGATCAAAACAATCTTGCAAGCACTGGATTACATGCTTTGTATTGGGTTTATTTCATTTTATTTAAATTTCTCCTTCCAAGGAGATCAGGTTGGCATGCAGTGGTCTTTTAATCTGATTTTATTTATATAGCCTTGTGAACCAATCTGAACTGAAAACTGGTTACTGAAAAAAAATCGTTTTACTTCCGAATGCATTCCATCTCCCCTGTCAAGTATACATCTTGTGAATAAATTTACTGTCATTGCTGAAAAGGTCTCTTTAGCAAGGAACCTTCATATCTGTGCTAATGTTTTTAACATTTCTTCCTTTCTGTCTCTTTGCTTAGCCCGATATGACCTCAAGCGACGGCACACTGACACTTGAAGATCCAATGCTGGCTCCACTTGCCGATGCAGGGAAGTTCTGGCTAGTGCAAAGGCTCTTTGCTTTATCAAACATTAACCTTGAAATGACAGAGTCTTCCATAAGAGCTGTAACCACTAAGAAACCCAGATTTTTCCCTATCATTCTTTATATAGCCTTGTACGGACTTTGTGCATTAGGCAGTAAAACAACTCAGGCTTGAAGGTAGTGGCTTGGATGGTTTAATAGCAGAACTGACGGTGTTATTTAATACCTATTTTCAAAACAGAGTTGTGTTAGACTGATTTGCATCAATGACATGGCAGCATCTGAAAATAAGTGGTATCATTGATGCATAGTAGGTTGAAAATGGACAGTTGTGGGGAGGAAACATCATGCAAGGATACTTCATAATCAAAGGGAAAAAGAGAGAGAGATTGCTTTATTAACTAGTTTTGTATGTGCTAGAGAGTTTTGTGAACCAGAACAACACACTGGAAATAAGTTCTGGATTCAGCTATTTCATTCTCCTGCCTTGGGGAAAGGATGATAACTCTGTGTCTGAGCACATGCTTTGAATGCAAAATGTTCTGATGTTGAATTCTTGGCAAGCTGGGAAAGACTCCAGGCTGAACTCATGAAAAGCCTTTACTCTAACGATATCCCTTTTAGTAGCTACACATTTTTCAAGTGTCATGCAATAAACTGAGTAATATTATCCAAATATTAATGATATGTCTTTTATGTAAACTACTTACTTCATTTAATCTAACAGATTTATTGCACTAACATGATTTTTGTTCCTGGGTTATCAATGTCAATATCTAATTGGTTCTATCACAAACACATGGAAAAAAAAGTTTATTAAACCTGCAAAAACTTTGTTTTTGTGGTCTGAACACTGAAAGGTTAAAATGGCATATTTTCATTAAGGAGAATTACAAACAAATTGCCTAGACTGAAGGAAATAATAGTAGTATCTTCAGTCATAAAAACAAACTTTCTGGAGCATAATAACTACTTTCAAAGTAAGTACCGCACAAGTAAACAGGAAATGGCACTTTCAAACCAGGAACAGCATTTCCCCCCCCAAATTTTGTTAAATTATGGCAGGAGTTTACAATCCAATTCTTTCTCCCAGGAAAATCCATTATAAACTGCGGAACAGATTTTCATATGTCTGAATCAGAAAAAAATGTTTTCCAGAAACCATGTATTGAATATTAACAGAAAGTTTTGTTTTTGATTAAAATCATAATCATATCCATTCAAAAAGCCTAAGATTACGCAAGATCATGTCTTTGTTGTTTTTGATGTCACAAAAGGAAATATCTGATATCTTCTTGTGCATCATCCCCCTTCACAACCTAGAAGGCATCTTTCTAATGGCAGAGTTCCCTCTATGGCCATTCAAAGTCCAGCTTGCAAATAATTGCTTACAAGCAGCTGGTTATTTGTAATTAAATAATATCCCCAATAATGAAGGTATAACTATACTGGTAAAGTAACAAGAGATAACATCATTTTGTGGTATAACTGTAAAAAGGGATATTGTTTTGGTATTTAATGGGCTGCGGTGCTGCAATGGGTTAAACCATTGAACTGTTGAATCTGCTGGCAGCCTGAAGCTGCGGGTTGGGATGAGCTTCTGCTGTTAGCCTTTGCTCCTGCCAACCTAGCAGTTTGAAAACATGCAGATGTGAGTAGATCAATAGGTACCACTTTGGTGGGAAGGTACTAAAGGCGCCCATGTGGCCATGCTGGCAATTCAACCAGGAGGTGTCTATGGATAACAGGCTTCTCAACTTGGAAATGGAACAAGAGTACCTCCCCATGGCCAGAGCTGAGCACCGTCTCCAGCTGAAGATGAAAGGGGAAGTCTTTACCTTTGTTCTGTGTATTTGTATGTCATTGTTAGGAACTGAATGTTTGCCTATCTGCGTATTTTGTAATCTGCTCTGAGTCCCCTTGGGGAGATAGAGTGGAATATAAATAAAATGTATTATTATTATTATTATTATTATTATTATTATTATTATTATTATCCACTGGGGAATGGCCAAACCAATGTCCAGCTGTGCTTCAACAACTGGGAGAGGAGAGCCGATATCACCCTCCTACCTCTGGTGATATGCTGGAGATGATGAGGATGATGATGTTGAATATATGTAGTGATGCTGGATATATATATAATAATAACTGGGAGGGTGGCACCAACAGTCTTTGCTCAAATAGATGCTGCCCAGAAACCTCCAACCTTTTCCCAGCCAATTAATGCCTATGGCAGGAGGCTCTTCATTTGGATACTATCTTCCAGAGAACAGGGATACAGAATTGCCTATGTAAGGTAGGCTGTGTGTCTACTTTTATTTTGGCCTCATCTTATGTTTTATATCTTGTGCAAATATATTACTTTCTGTGTTATAATAAACTCTTTAATCTTAAAAATGTCTTAACAAATTTTATTGCTTTGCTGGACTAGACCAACATACTTCTTCTACTGTATTTTTGAAACCTTCTGATAGTCCAGTCCAGTCTCAAGAGTAAGCTTCATGGTCTGGCAGATTGGTTGAAATTAGCAAAAAGCAGCATGAGCAAGAATTAGAAAAAAGGCAAGGATTTTTTTTCTGCAGCAGAAATAAGGTATGCACTAGGCAAAGTTCAAAGTGAGAACAAGGGATGATTTCAGAGCGCTCCCTTTACATCCTTACAGATTGTTTCCTTTCTCATATGCAATCAGGTCCACTGTATGTGGAATTTAACCAACAGCAGCCTGGACTTGTTTATCACTGTAAACAAGAAATGTAGTTCAAGGAATATAATTAATAGTTATAAATAAAGGAGTAAGTTCCTTTTCTTAAGGTAAAGGTTTTCCACTGACATTAAATCTAGTCAAGTCCAACTCTAGGGGGTGGTGCTCATCTCCATTTCTAAGCCAAAGAGCTGGTGTTGTCCATAGATGCCTCCAGGATCATGTGGCCGGCATGACTGCATGGAGTGCCATTACCTTCCCGCCAACGCAGTACCTATAGATCTACTCACATTTGCATGTTTTTGAACTGCTAGGTTGGCCGAAGCTGGGACTAACAGTGGGAGCTCTACCTGCTCCCCAGATTCGAACCGCTGACTTTTCAGTCAGCAAGTTCAGCAGCTCAGCAATTTAACCTGCTGCACCACCAGGGGCTCCTTACCTATGCATTATAACACAGATTAGAGGCAAGGCTCTAAGGTTGCCTACATGATCACTCTCACTTCCTGGAAATGAGGATCTAAAAAGGGATTCTTCCTCTTCCTTTTTTTACAAATTGCTAGTTTATACTTTTTGAAAAGTTTGATCGAACTTTATGTACTATGTATCTGGCTGAGACTTGGATTTTACATGAAAATTTGCAAAAAGCAGAGCTTCCTATTACTCACATCTACTTTAAAAAAGAGTTCAACTTCTTGTATAGAATATTGTGGGCAAAACGTACTGGGCCTTGCATTCAACTGGGCTTTTGTAGTGTTTCATTGAAAGACCTATCTATTTTATCATCCCATGAAAATCAAGAGCACTGTGTGACAACTTGGTCCATTGTAATTTTTTTGAGACAGTCTATTTTAGTCACCAGCCTTTAGCAGAATATGCAACTAAGGTAGACTGTTGTGAGATGTGTGGCTTAGAGGTGACGTATGAAGCAGTAAGAACTGCACTGGCTTCCACTTTGTTTGATTTGAGCTACTAGTTTTGATCTACAAAGCCCAAGATAACTCCATGCAGGGTTCGATGAAAAATTGCCTCATTTTAAATGAGCCTGCATGGAGTTTGTTCCTAGCTGACTGTTGAGGTGAATACTAGGCTTGTGCAAAAAATTTGGAATTTTGTAAGAGGAAGACTGAATGATACTTCTAGTAAGTAGTAGTAGTAGTAGTAGTAATTTTATATATTTAAATTAGTGCTGGGCTGGGACGAAATCCCTAAATGTATGGCCCTTGGGGATCCCTTCCAACTCAATAGGGCAGTGGTTCTCAACCTGTGGGTCCCCAGATGTTTTTGCCTTCAGCTCCTAGAAATTCCAACAGCTTGGAAACTGCCTGGGATTTCTGGAAGTTGTAGGTTCTCAAACTTGGGGACCCACAGGTTGAGAACCACTGCAATAGGGGAAGCATATTAATTAGTTTAGAGGCTGGATGGCTATCTGTCAGGGGAGTTTTGATGGTGCCCTTCTGCTTGGAAGAAGGGAGTTGGACTAGATGGCCCTTGGGGGTCCCCTCCAACTCTAGGATTCTATGAAAATGTAGAATGAATTAATATTGGTTTCTATTGGTTAATATGAGAGATGTTTAATAAGATAGCTGTTGTAGGTTTTTTTTAAAAAAAAGGTTTTGTCAAAACTTTAAACATTCTCTAAAATTAGTATATGTATGAATATTTCCAAAAGTTGGGGGGATGATCCCATTATCTTGTACCATTGTATAGAAAATTTAAGGAGAGAGCTCTTGTAGTTTTTTTTAATGGTTATAAAAAAAAATACGTGGATAGCCACTGGGCTAACAGTGGTAAATGTGTTTGTTCTACCCTTGTAGCAAGTTTCACCCAAGGAGAAAGGAGCCCCTGAAGTTTCCCCAATTATAGTAATTATGTCTCATTACTATGATGAAAAAGTAATGAAATTTCACTACTCTCATTATAGTAATGAAATTTTCACTAACCATACTTTAGAAACACTTTAGAAATGAAATGCCAGTGCCTCCCAGTTTTGTAATGTCTTTTGAATTTTTTTTAAATCAATCACACATGTTTAGTGAATACACTAAGAAGTTGTTCCTAGAGATGATCATCTGGCTTTGTGGAAGTGGGAGGGTGTCCGCTTTTTTGGGAATAAAAATTGTGGTGTATTTTCATGTTTTCAAAATTAAAATGTGATTCTTGGGCTATAAAGGATTATAGTAGTCGTTTATATTTTTCAAACAAATTAATGGGGGGGGGGGATAGGAAAAGCATTTTCTCCTTTTTTGTGGTTGTCCTGTGCCCCTAATCATGCTCAAAAGTGGAGGGCCTGTTGTGCATGTTTTGTAAAAATGGCTTCGAAAATGGTTTTTATCTTTCTTTAAGGAATGTATCAATTTTTTCATCAGCCGTGGAATTCTGTCTGTGGTATCTACTTTAAAAAAAAAAAGAATAAACAACTATACCATCTGTTGCCAAAACATAATAATCCAATCATTTCCACTTGTAAAAATCTGTTCTTAAGAAAGTACATCTTTCTACTCATATTGTTCTCTGAATTGTTCACTCTACTATACTCTAAAACTGGCTTTCTAGTACAGAAACTCTGCCACAGGCTGAATTCGTGCTGTGTAGCTTTAGGCATTGCCAAACTTAGTTCTCTTGATACAGATCTCAGGCCTAAACACTTGTAGATGTGGAGGGCCGACTGTGCCTTAAGGTTTTGAAGACCAGAACCATTTTGCATACACAATGTTTTAAAGTGCGTTTACCCCTCTAGGAGACACCAGGTAGCATACACCTGGTTTAAATATACCATGCATTCCTAATATGCAATGTTCTAAAATACATGGAAAAGAGGATTTGTCACACACCCCAATGCTGCAGCGTTTTTGTTTTTTTTTTCGTGTCGGGAGTGACTTGAGAAAGGGTTTAACACACTAAGCCCCCAGTGGCAGAAGGACTGCTGACTGAAAGGTCGGTGGTTCAAATCCGGGGAGCAGAGTGAGTTCACGTCTGTCAGCTTCAACTTCTTAAGCAGGGACATGAGAGAAGCCTCCCACAGGATGGTAAAACATCTGGACATCCCCTGAGCAACATCATCGCAGCCAGCTAATTTTCTCACATCAGAAGCGACTTGCTGCAATGGTGACAAGGGGGTGTCAGGATTGTGGGAGGCCAATATCCAGCATATGTGTCACTGACCCCTATATGTTAGAAGACTTCCTGCTTACGTTTTGGCTGGCTCAAGAATATTAACCCCTTTTGCTGCTGATAGCTATTTCTAAGCTCACCTCACATGTTGTTGCATGCCTTCAAGTCCATTCTGATTTATAGCGAATCTAAGGTAAACTTATGGGTTTTGGAGGGCAAGATTTGTTCAGAAGAGCTTTGCGCCTTTGTCTGCCTCTGGATCTGGGTCTCCATGGCTGAGCAGGGATTTGAATCCAGGTTATAGTTCAGTGCTCAAACACCACATGGCTCTTTTTGCCATGTTAGTATACCTTTCAAATAGAAGATGATTTTTCTTTCCCCTTCATTCCAATCTGCGAACACCCCTGTTTATTTGTCATCATTCAATATGCGTCATTCCTCCCATGTAAAAGAATATTCATTTGCATTTCATTTCAGGCACTCGGCTTTATGAACGATGCAACACTTTTTCCCAATATTAAATTTTTATTTCATATATACAAAAATACTTTATTAGGAGTTAACAGGATTTCACAGCTTTGTACATTTTAACAATTATACAGACTGACATGTGACTTCAGTGAGAAAGCAGTAGAGAGATTTTGTTTCAGAAGTTGAAATGTTAGTTTAGCCAAATAGCTCCTATGGTACTTTTTAGGGTTACCTAATAAATCTCTCCACGTTCCTTCATTAGGTCATTCTAAATTGATCAGTGTGGCAAACAAACAAGTTTTTCTATGCTCAGCAGTACCCAAAGGGACATCTTAGATTTCCTGTCAACCAAATCTAATGTTTCATTAAATACTGCACAAATAATGTCGACATGAATGCACATGTAGCAGCCAAAAACAATCTCAGAAGTTCAAGAAAGCAAAAACAATGAGCTGTATAACTATGATAAGAGTCCTACATTCTGAACCTTTCTAGTAATTGTTTCTACCAGTCTTCATAAATAGGGAAATACTACATGTCCACACAAAAGTATGGGACTTGCAGGGATACCCTTCAAGGAAAAAAGGCATGTCAGTAGCATCCAATATGCATTACCTTGAATAGAGATACCAGCACAAACAATCTGTTTTTCTTGCCAGCAGACCATTATGCAAAATAGTGTTAACATTTGTCTAATATGTAAGAATTGATGTTTTACACCAGTCTTCATCAACCAGTTATCTTGTCCTTAAAACCAAAAGCAGCTAGAACCACTCACTCCTGAAGACTGATCATGGATTTCTGCCATAATGCCATGAAGTCCAACAAATTAACCTAGTCATATTTCACTGTGCGTGGGGGGGGGGGGGTTACTCTTAGAATAATGTATTCTTACATGCCAAAGGCTGAAAAGCAATTCACTGCTTAACAATGGAGACCACCATAAGACGCTTAACATAATGATCTGACAAATGAACCCATATGAAGTACAGTCAGTTAAAGAAAAAATATAAATTAATAAGATTTATATGGACATTTTCAACAGGAGTCATTACTTATCCTATATCTGATTATTACTTATTTTGTGTCTTATGTGCCATTTATTTTAGAATGGCCGTGTCTAGTGAGAAAAGGAGATTATCAGTTTTAACATTTTGGTTGGTAATTATATGAGATTTTGGTAGTGATGGAGGTTATGAGTTCAGTAGTTACAAGATTAGAAACTGGATTTACAATCTTGTAACTGCTGGATTTTTTATTTTTACTGCTCCTAGATATCCTTCTCAGCTTGGCAGTTCCTCAACCAAAGGGATTCCTTGGCATTGCAGATCATGCACTGGCAAATGATATCTACAGTGTTGTCCTAAGTTTAGGACACACTGAAAGAAGCAGTTGTGGCAGGACCACAAGCTCCCTGTTTTCAATATATTTATCAACTGGAACAGAGCTTCTGTCATCACTTCCCAGTGCTCTGAACTACAACACTTTGGAAACTTTTCAGCTGTGATGGCGTCAAGATGAAATGGTAGGGTTTTTCAAGAAAGCTATCTTCATAGTTCTATCTGATGATGGAGAATCTTGGCCTACAATCCCTACAGCATCTGAAGTCACTTTAAACACAGAATCTTAACTTAAAAGCTAAGCTAAGGAGTCCACAAGCAACATACTAAAGCTACCAAGTCTAGGTAGAACAAGTCGACCAAAAAGAAAAGGATCTGTGTTCCATTTTTGAATGTGGATTAAGAATGTAAGGCAAGGGTGGGCAATTTCTGGAAGTTCAGAAATTACTAGACTGTAGCTCCCAGCATTTCACAACATTGGCTATGCTGGCTGGGGCTAACAGGTACTGCAGTCCAATATTTGCAGTTCACAACCTGCCCATCCATGACTTCAGAGATGCCTTTGTTCTCTCTCTCAATTTCTGTAATTGGTTCCAAGCACACTGGAGAACTCATTTTTATAATATTCTGTGCACCTTTCAAAATGCTCTTCAGGAACCCAAGTTAAAGATACTGTAACCAAAAGACAATATTTAGCAAAATGCTCTGGCATATTTTCAAGGTTCCCGAAGTTTACTTTATTGGGATTTTAACAAAATCTCATTGCATACATACCCAACTTATATCAACAGAACACAAAAAGCATCTTGTACTTTTTTAAGTAAAAGGATTTGTGCTTTTGGTATGATCATGGTATTAAGTATTTCAAGTCCACATCATAGGTGTGGAACCAGTGTCTTGACTAGAGAGATTCATACAGGTATGAATACATATGATCCAAAACAATAAGGGTACATTCTCATGCCTATGTCATACTATCACTTTTAATTTCATCCTTATATTGTAGACAAATGATTGCCCGCTTTCTGACAACCAGATCCCTTCTATTCATTATGTTAAAAGTACTGTCCCCAATTACAATATTATACTGTATTTACATTTTTTGAAACTTGACAAAAATATTTAAATAATAGCTGCTCCATCCTTTGAAAAGTCAAGTAGCTGGATGCATACAAATAAACATATACCATGCTCTGAAATCATCAGCATTTTGGTATGAATTAGTACTTTGTGAACAATTGAGAGCAAAAGTATTGAATCTAACTTCATGTACCAATATTAAATTGTACTCCTTCTTCTGAACTCACTGAATTCAAGATGACATGTTAAAGATTAGAACATATAAATTCAGTGTGACCTGCAGCTCATAAAGTTGCCATGAACTGATAATTTTATTCCAAACCCATTTTACACTGATTGTAGAAATTAGGGTTTTAATGGGTTTTCCACTTGCAGGTATTGCACTCAGCATCCATAGTATTTCAGATTCCTGCTTTTTGTGTTTTAAAACTTTGGGCTTGTCTACACTGTAGAAAAAAATCATACTCACCTGACCTACGATATTATTGACGGTTCACTTGCAATGCAGTTATTTCAGCTTTAATCTGGTTCAAAAATCCTCGCTTTTTACTCCCAGTTTTACAGAAAAGCCAGATTTTTGGTATGAGGCTGGCCCTCCATGCTGTGGGATTGGGCTGAGTGGTTAGTGATGGGCAGAACCAGTAATCCTTTCCAGGGTTGAATTTATTTCGCTCAAGAAAATGCATATCCAGATATTTGCATATCGGTACTTTAGTATTAGTGCATCCCTGCTTCACAGAAAATATGTATATCTGCTTGTGGATTTGCTGGTTAGGGCAATCTCATCACAACGTGTGTCATGCGGGGCACATTCAAGCAGTCATTGCAAGGTCAATGAAGTGCCAAACATTTTTTTTCTTCACTGTAGACAAGCCCAGTAGAAAGAGTAACATAAAACAAAGTTGTTTTATTTTTATACAGGCATACAAAAACATCTGACTATGTGTTTTCCAGTACATAAATATTTAGTTTAGATCAGGTAATAAATGACCATAAGTAGTTTCACCATAGCAGAAGCATTGTCACAACCTTTGAGGATGCCTGCCATAGATGAAGGCGAAACATCAGGAGAGAATGCTTCTGGAACATGGCCATACAGCTCAGAAACCACACAACCACCCAATGATTCCTGCCATGAAAGCTTTTGACAATACATTTTATCTTCTCCTTTAATGATTGAAAGAGATGAAAACCATACCTAACTCCTTTTGAAAGGGAAGAGGCTCTGGGTCTAGTTCCCAGGATATTCACTTTTCATACCAAATCAAGCTATTGTTCTATCTAACCAGCATTCCCTATATGCACTTGCCAACCGCTTTCCAGGGTTTCAGATAACAGTCTTTTCCAGACATAATTTGAGATACTAGTAACTGAGAATAGGATCTTTACATGCAAAGCTGGTGCTCTATTACTGGACAGCTCCCCCTCCATTAATACATTCTTTATATATACTGAACGTAACACCATGGCACCGTCCTCCACAAAAAGGACCTGAATTTTGGCTCTCCCCACTTTATGGCGGCAAGGAGGAGATATATGGAAACTTTGCCCTTAAAGTTTCATATTCCACATGCTTAGTGTTTCAAAATAGAAATACAGTAAAACCTGAATTAGTGGCACTATGGTGTAAAATGTAAAGGTCGTTTTTAAGTATTAATCAGGGAGGACCTGGACTAACCTCCTTTGGCATCACAGTTCACGAAAGGGTTCTTCTGCAAAGGCATGATTTTATGTAAAATACTGTTATTCTTATACTTGGCATAGACTTGCTTCCTGTTAAGTAATGGCAGTGACTCAAATGGTTTATTCATATGCACCAACTTTAATGTAGAGAACCGAGTGCTGGCTTGGCTATTGCTGCTAAGGAGAAAATTCAGTAAGTTCTTTCATGGTATTTTAGAGAACAGCCATATGAAAACTGCATCTCCAGAAAGATCGCTTGATACCTGTGGACTTACATCCAAGCTGTACTAAGATGTTAGGCAGCCAATAAGAAAAGCACTAGTTTCCTATTACGTTTCCTTTCTACAACATGGATGATGACATCATAGATATTCAGAGCTTGGGTAGTGTGCTTCATAACACAATCAAATTCCTGTTAATTATTCATCAGATTTCCTCTGATCAAATCTGTTGGCCACTGACTGCTTCTATGTTCCAATCAAAATGGCCTGTTGCAGAACCATAGAAGCCAATTAGGGCCCTATGAGGATTTAGATCAGATTAATTTGTCTACCTCCACATCCCTTCCAAACAGAAATGCAGTTCACTTGAAATCTGAGCAAGAGAGCAGCCCCATTCTAGGTTTACATTGATTCACCTTGAGACGCTCTCTTTTTCAAGCTGGCCAAAAGCAGTAACACCGAATCTATTGGAATGCTGTCCAGCGAAACACTGGAAAATAAAGGAACAGGAGCTAACATTCTAAATTAGGATTCAATAAGTTTCTGCACTCACGTTTCTACTTCAAAAGTCCCATAAAAGTAGTACCTCATTAGTAATCCTACAATGGCATCAAGAATGAATAACAGTATATATTTAAATCAGGGCTGAGTAACTGTGGAAGATGAGGGTGCACCAGAGACATTGGCGGGCCATATCCCTCCACTCCACCTTTTCTGAGATACGTTATTTTTTCTGGCCTTCAAATCCCCCTCAGAGCCTTTTAAGGGCTGTGTTCATGTGCACCTAAAAGGCATTTAGAGAAATTTTGAGGACATTTTTGCAGAATTTCATTTTACTCCCAAGGGGGATCCAATGGTCAATGTCCTTTGTGCTCCCGAAGATCACTGGTGGCATTTCAGAACAATTTCTTTTCATATTTTTGACCCCTTGGGGATGCCTTGCAAGCCACCCTCTGCCTACCCTGTTTTAAATTATCATTCTGGATACCACGCATGAAAATGATTCTTCATACTCTGCTGCGTACACTTGTCAAACGCTGAAGATCAGGCTATCTATAGATATTATGCAACAAAAGTTTTAAGTTTCTTAAAAATATTTGATAGTTAAAAGCTAAAATCTAAGTACCAACAGCAATTAAGACAAGATATGCAATAATCTGCATAACATTGACAAAATATACTTAAGTCCTTAAAAAAATACCTTAAAGGTTTTTTTCAATCTATAATACCTTTTGGTGTCTCATCGTCTCTCTGTATAAAGTAAAACTATCCAAACCCTGTTTTCTTGTGCACAATTAAACATGTTTAAAAACCAAATGGGCAAGGAACTTTTCTGTAGGATCCCAGCCTTTCTAAATTCTCCTTTGTTGGTGTCTTGTGGATGATACTTTGGTGTTGAAAATAAATTCTAATGCCAAGTGCCTGTCCTCACACAGTGAAATAAATGGACTGGTGGTTGTACCAAGTCAGGCACCTAGCAAATTAGCAATCAATGGGTATATTTACAACAGGTACAATATAAAATAGGGTCATTAGACTAGTTTGTCCTCGTGACAGTTTGCATCTATATTCATTAAATAGAATATACACAGCAAAAGTGTTTTAATTGAATATGAACCTAAAAGAATATGGTTTTTTTCTATTCAAAGGAAGAATATCATAAAAATCATGAGTGTAAAACAAAAGTAAACCTACTTATAAATAACATTAAATTTTACCATCTGACAGTAACTTTAGTTTCACAAGCTATTTGGTGAATAAAGCAGTTTAACACAAGGTAACAGACAGCTCAAAGTCCCATCACGTCACATTTCATTAATACACATAATCACTTATAAATATTCTGGTGTAAAATAAAAGCCAGCCACGGAACAATATACAAACACAGGGCAAGGTCATTATTTAAAAAGCCAGTTGTTGATTTTTAAGCAATGTTTTTTCACAAGTGAGAACATACATCCTACATGCTGAGCCCCAACTGCTAAGCTTCTCTCAGGCTACTTCACCATGATCCCAAACACAATGAAGCACATTACATAAATCTCTGAGAAAGTAATACTTGTTCTAATGGACTGAAACACTGGCTCATCAGAACAGTTGCCTAGGGAAGTTTCAAGATATTGCTTTTAGTGTTTGTAAAAAGACAGCACATACAGAAAAAACTACAGCACATCTGTCTAAAACCAGACAAATGCAAAGCATATATGAATATTAAGCAAAATAAAAGTGTCCGTAACATGGCTCAGTGCTGGTTGGTGTTTAAGTATTGAAAATTTTGCTTATATCGAGAAGAATGACAGGTATAGTAGAATAAAGTCTAACATCTTCCCAAAATTAAGAGGAACTGACCAGATGAAACACTTGATTTTATATAGAGTTTTATAATTTTTTATATATATAAACAACCTTTTTTCAAGTATTTTTCTCCTCATCACAGTGAAAATGTAAGACCAGATGTTTAAGTGAATGACTGGAAAGTTCCTTAGATGAATAAAGGCAAAGTAGTAAATCAAAAACATTTATAAAAATGCTTCAACGCATTTCCTTCATGTGATATGAATAGAAAGGTTATCTGTAAAAAGTTAGAAAAATTAAAATAAATTACATATTTAAGTACACTTTTCCCTTCAACATTTTGTATAAAAACTTGGAATAGCATACCATTATCTGAATATACACAGAATAAAAATGCATCGGGTGCTGCTCGGTATCTGGCAGCTCTGTACAATGTCTTCTCAGTATAACATTTGCTTCAGTAAACCTAATTTGGTAGTTACGCATGTCTTCGGAAAAACTGTCAGTACACCCAGCTAATTGGGACCCACTGTGGTTCTGTCCTCAGTTTCTCCGTAGCGGTTTGCAATTTTTCAAAGGCTTTGTCCAGATTGTCATTCACAATGACCAGATCAAAATAGTGGCTATATGCTCTCTGGATGCGTGCACTCTCATCAACTGTTTTCTTCAAATCAGTATCCTGTTGAAAGATTGACACACCAGAAGGTTTTTCAGAACTTAGCATGCATGATACAACTTCCTGCAATTTCAGATTTAATATCCATGGTTTCACTTACTCACACTCAAAAAAATATCCCCACTTCCCTCAGGAAGTGTTTGTGGACCTCTCATACTTCCAGCCCATGTAAGGTCAAAATGTAGGGTGCACTATTTCCCGTGGTTTCAGATGTCCAAAAGGATCTTGGAACATATCCCCTACAGATATGGGGTCACATTTAAAAGCTGGCTCACCATCTATTATATTTAATTACTCAGATGTCATTTTTAATCAGCTTGGTGAGATTTGCTTGCACACAAGCTGTGCTTAAGGGATTATAAAAGTTAACTTTTATAAATATCATAAAGTAAATTCTAAAGGAGTACAACACATTTTTGGGTGGATTAAATCTTCCACACCGGGCACTAGCTGTCAATCTTACTTACTTTCAAGTGCTGATGATTATCTATAAAGCTCTATGTGGTCCTATCACAGTAAGGGCACCAGTTAGGTTGATGGCTTTCTCATATGCATGTCTATGCACTATGTTCCCCAGACATGCTTATAGAACAAGACCTTTTTAATGTCACTTCAGCAACTGGTAGAGAACATTCCACACTGCTGTTTGAGAAACTAAAATTCATCTAGGCTATGCTGCTGAATTTTACAGCCTTTAAAAAAATCACTGTTGATGTATCCTTTTTGTTGTGTTTTATACAATTATTGGAGCCCCTGGTGGTGCAGCGGGTTAAACTGCTGAGCTGCTGAACATGCTGACCAAAAGGTCAGGAGTTTGAATCCAGAGAGCAGGGTGAGCTCCCGCTGTTAGCCCCAGATTCTGCCAACCTGGTTGTTTGAAAACATGGAAATGTGAGTAAATCAATAGCTACCCCTTCCGTGGGAAGGTAACAGTGTCCATGCAGTCATGCCCAGCTACATGACCTTGGAGGCATCTACGGACAAGACCGGACAAGTCTACAAATGGAGATGAGCACTAACTTCCAGAGTCGAATATGACTAGACTTAATGTCAAGGGGAAACCTTTACCTTTACCTATACAATTATTTGGCTAGATCCAACATTAGCTAAAGGAAAAAAGTATTTTTTGGTGGGGACCAGAATGGCTGGCCAAAGTTTCCTTGGGAGTCTAATGGGCCCACTTAGCCTTCCACAATTGCCCACCCCTTCTTCATAGAAAGAGGAAGGTGTCTGTTAATATTTAAATAAAACAGACACATCTATAATAATCACCTAATAGAAATAAAACTTTCTTGTTGATTTGCTAAATTGACCGTCTTGCTCATTTTTAAATAATGAAGTGGAAAGAAGGAAGCACTCAACAACACTTGAGATGATTAGCCTCAAGCCTCCCAAGACAATCCCAAAGGCAGACGGCAAAAGGGAAGGGAATGTAACAAGTACTTTGAAGAAAACCCTTAAGACTAGGAAAAGTATAAATTTAAAACACAAGCAAATGAACAAAAAAGCATGAAAATTACATTTAAAATGCAATCTTTAAACTATGGGTGCAATGAGTCAAGTCTGATTATATACAATGTTAAAATATAGATGTTCCTTACTGTTAGAAGCTTTGTTGTAATTCCTGCATCCACCACGGCTTTATGCATGGCACGCAGTGTTTCTAATTCTGGAGCAGCAATAAACACTACATATGGCATAAACTCTGATGTTCGCAATATCTTTAGTGCCTAGAGATAACAGAATTAGCTCAATCACACTCTGAACATTAAGATGATAGCAACAAAGCATTTCACATACTACAAAGTAGGAAACTTGAGTGAATTAAATCACTCTTGGTAATATATACTAAGTTACTTTCTGTTTAAAATATAGTCTTATTCTGCTCAACTTAATCAGTGACTAGTTGCAAGAGGTCCATAGTATGCCAGAGATAAGTGTCATACAGTCCTTTACTTGCCATTGTAGTGATGACACCCTGCTGTGAACTAGACTATAGTATACATTTAAAAAGCAGTTAGAAATTAATATCCACATTGCTTTTATATTAATACTGTTCACATTACCGTATATTCTGTGGTGCAACACAACTGGGGCTATAAGATGACCCCCCAAAGTTTAACAAACAAAATAGAGAGTTGGGGATATACTCGCTGTTTAAGATGACTCCCCAAACCAGGCGCTTCTCAAGCCGCTCTCATTCTTCCTGTCTAGGCCTCATGCGAAGTGCCTCTTCTCCCACGAGACAGCGTTGTCTCGCGGGAGAAGAGGCGCTTCTCGTGAGGCCTGAACAGAAAGGAGAGTGGCCTGAGCAGCGTGGGAAGCAGCCCAGGGGCCCGACCGCCAACAAAGGAGAGGCCTGGGCCTGAGTAAGGAAAGCAGCCAGGAAGGGAAGAAGGACGGGGAGCCATAGTATGTAATTTTATTATTATTTTAATTTTATACCCGGTGTACTAGATGACCCCCAAAATTTTATAAGGTTTTACATGCCTAAAAAGTCATCTAATCGTTACAATGTAATATATTTTAAGTATACATATTGAAATAACACACAGAAAAGGTGAGAAGCATCAGATAAGTCAATTAAAATGTCAGGAAGTTTACAATCAACAATTCCGCAAGCCCAACTCTTACTAGCAAAATAAGATGCTTGCTTAGTAGCAAGAGGATACAAAGATGGGACAAGGGAGGGCTCTTTTTGAAGAAAAATGAACCACAGAGTCTGGCATGCGTCAGAATCTGCGATCCTTGTAAACCTATTCAATGTTCATGAGGTCATACTTAATCCTAAGGTTCTCTGAAGGGTGAATCACTTGTTTTGGTGAGATGTACAATCTTTCACTGATGCTTCTATTAAACTAAAGCAGAGGTTCTCAACCTTTGATCCTACACTTTTTTTGTTCTTCGCCTCTTAAAATCCTCCACCATGATTCATAATGATGACATATTCTGGCGAACTCCAAAACATCTGGAAGACCAAAGGTTGAGAACTACTGGACTAAGGTTCTGGTCCATCATACCTGTGGGTTCACATCCAAGATGCATGTCCTTCCAGTCTGAACCACTTCAAGGATGGAATCTATTTTGGTGCCATAAAGGTTTCCTTCATATTCTCCATGTTCTAAGTATCTTCCAGCTTTGATATCTGTCTCCATTTCTACTCGTGATACGAATCTGTATGCTTGCCCATCTTTTTCATCATCTCTCGGCTTTCTTGATGTAACTAAATAAATATGATATAAATATGCAAAAAATACAAATTTTAGACAGGCATTGCCATATTTGTATTTATTGAAAGGCAACTTACAGAAATACACAGTGACTTGAAAGGTGTTCAGGTAAGCAGCCAATTTTACCAACTCCGAAATTGCACTGCAGTCCTATAAAGTAAATGATGTTCTAGACAGTCTTTAAGTACCCATAAGTAAATTTTGTGCAGCCATGGGAGCTCCAGTAAGAAGATAATGAGAAATCCCATTACATGATCATAAAGAAGTTTGGTTCAAAGTAAGTTTGGTTTTAAGTAAAAAATTTAATGATTCTTCCACCTACAACTTTATTTCCCCTATTTCGGTTTAATAAAACCTCTCATTTACATAGCAGAAACAACTGAGTGACAGGATAGTCCAAATTTTATCATATTTCTGAAAATCCAAAGTGGAGAAAACAATTATGTCTTTAAATATTCCTAACATATTGGTCTTCTGATATATTTATATTTTACTTCCACCTCTTCTAATTTAATCCTATAACTACACAAAATGTGAAAATCAATCTGAGAAATCAGTGGAAACAGGAGTAAAATAATATTCCAGATTTGGAACAGGACAACAGAATGGATGGTTTGTCAGAGAAAATAGAGCTGAAGTATATATAGATAAATTAGAATAGAAGTTCCAATAAACTGACCTAAGACTTCAATTTAGAGTGTTAAAATTGTACTATATGGCATTACTGACCATTTTGAAGCAATATATTGACAGCTCAAACAAAAGTCATATTTTAAAGTATTAATTATCCATTATTAAGGTTTGCAAACGAACAAGTAAGCAAATTACTTTCAATTAGAAATTCATATATAATATAGAGCTCAATATATCATCACAGATAAATTCAATTAAGTTCAATAGGGCTTATTCCCTAAAGTGAATGTGCTTTTGAGTGCAGTCGTCTTTTTATTGGCATCTCTTACTGCCAGAAATATAACTCCTGCCAGTATGGGAAAAATATTCAAGCTTCATAGTATCAAAAAACCCACATTCCTTGAAATTCAATGCAGTTATTCTACCATCTTTCCTGTAAAGGTTGAGTACCCTTTATCTGGAAATCTGAAATGCCCCCAAATCAAAACCTTTCCATGTGGGTGGCTGTGATAGTAACACCTTTGCATTCTGATGGTTCAACACACATAAATTTGGATTCATGCACATAATATTGTGCATAAAACTGCTTTCAAGGTTATGTGTATTTCTTGTTTAGCCCTCAGCCCACTGCCAAGATATCCCAATATCCCTCCCCAAAATCCCAAACACTTCTGGTCTTCAGATAAGGGATACTTAACCTATACAAACAGTATGCAATACATATCTGAGCCTCATGCTATGGAAAAGTATTAATAAAGGGAAAGAAGGAATCAAGAGGAAAAAATACAGTAAAAAACTCTTTATCCATGGGTTCGATGTCCATGGTTTTACACTCCAAAAAATATTCCCCACAAAAGTGCTGGTGACTCTTCAGTGCAATTCTATGGTTGCCTCGAGCCCAGGCAACCATAGATATAGGATATATAGGATTTACTTTTATACACAGTTCAACATATCCACAGGGGTCTTGGAACATTATCTACCATGGATACTGGGGTCAGATTGTACACATCTGCTCAATCAATGTACATGCCTCAGAAAACAAATTACAATAAAGAAAAAATAACAACATACATGGCACTGTGGTTCCAAATTTTGTGGGATTTAACACAATGAATCTGTTTTTTAAACTTCTTCGACCCACACCTTGGGCTCCTATTAAAACCAGTGTTTTTCTTTGAAATGGGGGCATTTTTGCTACTTCCTCATAGATCTGGATTTCATGGCGGTCAAATTCTACAAAAAGAAATACAACATATTAAAAGCATATTAAAAGCAAGACACTTTACATTTTATAAAGCAAACAACATTTTGTTGGGGATTACTATCCCCTTCTTTTATGAAAAAAACCTCTGTAAGGAAGCTTGTGGATTTGGAGAAGATAAAGCAGAACTTTCCCATGCAAGGTGTGCAAGCTGTTATCACGTACTGAATATGTGACTCCCACTAACGATGCATAAATGTGAAAGAGGCTCATGCCTCCATGCAAGTCGCCTGTCAACTTAGAGAGACCCTAATCAATTTCTTATGGATTTTCCTTTTGCCAAGAATACTGATAGTTTTGTGAGTTACTTCCTCTGAAATATAGCACCTCTTATTCATTGGTGGTTTCTTTTTGGAAATAGCAACTTTCTAAAAGCCTCACATACTAGTTATTTCTTATATATATAATTCAGATTGCTTATTGTATTGTATATGTGTGTATTGGTATGCAGTTTTCCCTTAACTCTACGTTTGAGGTTGTGGGAGGGACTGCAGACCATGTGATCAGATCTGGGACTATTCGGACTAAGACTCCATTTTAGAAGTCAGTGTGTGTGTGTTTAATATTGTGTTCATTATCTTTAGAAACTACAGATAAGAGATTACAACATAATGCCTTAGAGAACTTACTGTTTAAACTTTCAACTGATAAGCAATGTACCTGTATGCTCAATACATGAAGTTTGTAAGTAAACCAACTATATTATTTTAACAAAGACTACTTATTTTGTCTCTTGAGAGAATGATGTAAACCAAATATATTTTATCAGAGAGTAGATGTTTTTGGGAAACTTAAATAACACATCTGAAGATCTGCTATATATTTTATGCATTGGCATATCTTTGTTCCTAACAGTTCAAAGAGATAACAAGGTTATCGGTCTAACAGCTGAAAAACCTAATTTGTCTTGCATGAATACTTGTGGACATTTACCACTAAAGAGAAGATTCACTTAAACAGGTTTTTAGCTTTTCTTAGGAAGACCATACTTTACAAAAGGGTTATGGTTTTCCAAATAGCAGTGAATGCCAATCTCCAAAAGGTCACACTTCCAAAAGGGTTTGGACATTCTGGTTTTCCAAAAGGTTATGATCTCAAAAGGTCAAAGGCTGACTCTGCTTTGCTTTCAAGATCAAATGTGACTTGGTGCTTTTTAGGGTACTTAGAATCTTAGAGATAGCATTAAAGAAGCAAATTTTGAGAAGACGGGTTAAGGATAAGCACACACATTTTTATGCTAAATGTTTTCCCAGGGTTATTCTCTTGCAATGTAACACTTAGCAATAAAAGTTAAATACCTGCATTTCTGGTTGTAAGATACATCATCTTTTTCTTCTTTTTACTACTTATTGTTCCACAAAATGGACCTGGAAATAGATGAAATGATTTAGAAAGCACAGTACACACATGTTCCGTGATATCTGATCTAAGCAGTTCAACAAAGAAACCCAACCTTATATTTATAAAGGCAAAGTGATAAATTTACTCTAGAATTCATTGAACAAATAATATTGCTGCTGCTCATTTACCAGCAGGTGGCAGAAAGGCCTCAGCAACTTGCAAGTGTTTTAATTCAAACCATTTTAATTGCCAATAAATGTCACTACTTATGGGCTCTTTTCTCATACTTTATGGATACTGCAGACTAAAAAGTAATGCAAAGAATCACACCGTTGTACATATTACCAGAATTGTCCCAGTCCCGTCTTACAAATGCTTTCCTTTTTTCTTCCAAGAATTGGCTAGGAATGAGTCCTGCACTTCCTCCTTCCTTGACATGGCTAGCCTAGAAACAAATTAAACATATACCTTTTGACACCAAGTCACAGAAAACATTTGGTTTAGCCCAGGCTTAATTTTTTAAAAACATATTTCTTATTTGAACATATATGTATGCTGGGGAAATGGAAGGAAAAAAGGAAGCGGGGCCAACCAAGGGCAAGATGGCTAGATGGCATTCTTGAAGTGACTGCATTGACCTTGAAGGAGCTGGGGGTGGTGACGGCCGACAGGGAGCTCTGGCGTGGGCTGGTCCATGAGGTCACGAAGAGTCAAAAACAACTGAACAACTGAAAAACAACAACTACTTATATGTATCTAACACCATAACACTGTTAGTGGGCAATACTGATGAGTACTGCTAAATTAGATTAACAGTCCATCTAGTTCAGTATCTCATTTTTGAAGAAATGCCTTTGAGAGAATTACAAGTAGAACATAAAGACAACATACTTATATTCAGTAGCGTACGGTATTTGATCCTGAGATGTACACAGATGGATTTGCCATAACTTCATCTAAACCGTCTTTGAAGCTATTCAAGCTAGAAGCCATTGCCTTCTCTACTAGCCACAAATTTCACTGATTGTGACCTGTATAACTGAACTTCCTTTTGTCTAAAAGTGCATCTGCACTGTAGAATTAATGCGGTTTTGCACCATTTTAACTGCTATGGATCAATGCTATGGAACCATGGAAGTTGCAGTTTCACAGTATTTAGCATTATCCACTAACGAGTGTGGGTGCCTCATAAAACTACAAGCCCCAGGATTCCACAGGATTGAGCCATGGCAATAAAAGTGGTGCAAAACTGCATTAATACTATGATTCTATTGTCTCCTTCCACACAGCTGTAAAATCCATACTGAACTGGATTATATGGTAGTGTGGACTCAGACAACCCAGATCAAAACAGATATTGTGAATTATCTATCTCGATATTCTGGATTATATGGCTGTGTGGAAGGGCCCTCAGTTTCACCTAGTGATTCAGATTAAAAATATAGGAGAAAGAGGAACATTACTCTTTCTGTTTTGTTTTTTTCTATTTCATCTCATGTAAGACCAGATGGGGCTCTAGGCTATTCATAAAAATGATCAAATTCAATTGCTGAATCCAGATCACGGTGGATGTAAGCAATTTTATCTTCAAAGAACTTTGCAAATGTATTGCAGTAGGACTGTGAAAACAGATGGGGCAGTTTGCAGAAGACCCTGGATCACCCCCCCCAAAAAAAACCTCTTTCCTGGATGACACAGTAAACCTGCAATGTCAGGATAGAGCTGCATCTTTGCCAAATTACAGCTACTGAGGGCCATTCCACACTGCCCTATATCCCAGAATATAAAGGCAGGAAATCCCATATCTGCTTTGAACTGGGTTATCTGAGTCCACATTCAGATAATGTTGGATTTCCTGCCTTGATATTCTGGGAAGCTTAGCTTCTTCAAGAGAAAGGAAATACCGTATAGCAGGATTTCTTAAATTCTGCTCCTCCAGATGTTTTGGACTTCAGGTCCCACAATTCCCAACAGCTGGTAAAATGACTGGGATTTCAGGGAGCTGAAAGTCCAAAACACATGGAGCAGCACAGTTTGAGAAACACTGCTGTATAGCATTAGAGTACTAAACCGGGATAGGAAGTCTGAACCAGATGTTTTGGTCCACCCAAACCAGTCTTATTTGAGAAGTAATACCCCCAAGTCACAAATTGATAAGACTCAGGTGAACGAATGTCTGTAACGGTGATGTACAGTGGTTTGAGGATTAGATCCTGGGAGACCAGAATCTGAATCTCTGCTCAGTCATGGAAAGTCACTGAGGAGCCTCAGGCAAGTTACAGTCTCTCAATCTCAGTGAAAGGCAACGAAACTTGCCAAGAAAACTCCATTATATGTTCACCTAAGAATTGCCATAAGTCAGAAACAACATGAAGGCATGTAATTACAGCAACAAAACAGCTACAAAAACTGTCAGACTGCAGCAGTTAGGAACCTATTAGCCCTTTGGCAATTGAATCTGAAAAAGCTGTCTTCAATACTGTTTTGCTACCCTGCAGAATATTCTAGCTGAACTGTCAGTAGATACGAAATACTATTTGAAACATTGATTACAGGTAGGCTGGATGATGTCAGTGCACTGGACATGCTGAAATGCAACCAAATTCTGGCATGTATATCAATGTTCTGTATGAGATGTGTAAATTTCCTCAACAGATGACATGTACAACGTATGCTCATCTACTGTGAATGTTGGGTAAGCTGGTGTTTCTTACCTCTATCTAACATGTCTTGTGCCAATAAGTATGGAATATGTTCCTTATAAGAAGATATGTGTATAGAAAGCAAATCTGTTTGATATGATAATCTTCTACAGGCATGTGACCTAATAAACATATGACCTAACAAACATAAACCTAATAATTTCACCTAATAAACATATATGATTATTATGCCATATACTATTATGGTCATATATTTTTTCCTAAAAGTTCAAAACTTTTGTTGATGTTGATCTGTCTACTAGACAATTCTTGCAATTTGAATAAAAACAATCCCTTGTTTATTTGACAGGTTAGGGACCAGAGCACTCTGAATAAGTGTCAAAATGCAGAACCTACAATGCTCTGGTCCCTAACATGTTGAGTAGGGAGGAACTGAATGAAAAAAATGACACCAAGTTTAAAAAATGCAAGTGTGGTCACAAAACTATCACACAAAGCGCTGCCTTTTCATTCAGATTGAGTACTGTGTCCCCTACTAATTCAACAGCCGCCAAACTGCAGAAGGATGGGGATATGACCATATTTCCTCTGGCAAAGAAAACTGCTCCTTTGATCATCCTTTTCAATCATATCCATTATTATTTTGGGTCATTTCTTAGGTGGGAGTATGGAAAAGGCAGAGTCCATTTACCCCTCCCCCCCCTCTCTCTCTCGGCCCCTTTAAATCATGCATAACCTGAACTCATTAATTCAACATGTGGGTGAAAGAGTGGCCCACACACCAAATTAATAGGTTCAGCATATCAATTAAAAAGGTTGAAAGAGCAGACTGAGTAAAGTGAACCATCAAAAAGCAGGAGACACCCGTACTCAAAGGAATTCCAGCTTTACAGGAATAAGGCATTGAGGCGACAACAAATATGTTTCAGCATCCTGCACTTGCATCATAGTTGCCTTCTTACTTGCTTCATTGTTCAGAGTTCCTGGAAATATTTAAAAACTGAACGGTGGATTGTGGCTACATAGGAGTGACTATGCCAATTCCTGCATCATCATCCTGTTCCATAGAATGCAAGGTATCACAATGTCCCTTCAAAGTACACTGACACCTTGACTTAAGAATTTAATGTGTTCTGTTCTATGTTCATAAGTCAAAACATTCTTATCTCAAAGCAAAATTTCCCACTGAAATGCTATTAATCCGTTTCACCTCCCCCCCCCCAAAAAAAACCACCCCAGTTTTTTAAATAAAATGTTCAGAGATAGGTAGTGCTTAGTTCCATCCAGCCACTGTGGCAAGGAGGCACATTTGAGGCAACAAAATGTGTGTTGGCCAGTGTAACAGCAAGGCAGAACAGCATCATTTTCATACTGTAATTCCAGCCTTTCTTCCTCCCTCTCTTGCTCTCTCTTTTCTTGAAGAGCACACAGTAAGCAGGCAAAGGCACACAGGCTGAGGCACTGAGCCAAGAGGTTCAGAGGCTGCTCTGATCTGCTGGAAGCCCTGTACTCGCTGTTTACGCCGAGGCTCTGCTGCACCAGAGTGTACTGCAATCTCTGGAGTGGAATCTCCAGCTTGGACTCTTCCCAGAACATCCAGGGGAACCAATCACATGGAGCTGGGGTTTCTGCCTTGCAGGAAAAGCCAGAGCTACTCCAGCTCAGACTCCAGCCCGTGTTTTGGTTATCTCTGTCTTGCTGTTAGAACTGGTTTAGGGGGCAAAGAAGCCACTTTTACACTGTTTGTAAGTTAAAACAGCATTTGGATGTTAGAATGTCACTCTAGACCGTGAGAATTTGTAAGTTAAAACATACTTATGTAAGTTATATTTATACTGTCATATACTTACAACCAATCCTTTGAAGGTAACCATAAGGCTGACATGGTCCTTGATGAAAATGAGTTTGACACCCCTGCTTTAAAGGGTTCCTTGGAATCCCATGGCATTTGCCATTGTGTGGCCCATTTCCTTCATTTACGGAGATGTTTTGAGCTGAAATTATTGTTTTATGTGCTTGGTTTTATCTTGTATTGTATTGTGTGTTTATTTTATGCGTTGCTTTAGGCATATTGTGCCATATGTAAACTGCCCTGAGTCCTTTTGGGGAGATGGAGGCAGGGTACAATAATAATAATAATAATAATTACTTCATTCATATTTCCAGCTTATATATGAACAAGTTAAAAAGCACCAGACCCCTTTAGAGCTATGAACCCCATATCGCCTTACACTGCAAAAGAAGTATCAATTTATTTTTATTCTTGGCTTGATCTGTAATAGAACCCCGTTTTTCTAAGCCATGATCGACAAGTTTATTTAGTGGTCTTGGGGGAGATGGACTTTTTGAAGCTTTTGAACTTAAAGTACGTATATACTGTGTCAACCAAATGGCTCCAGGCAAAGTACTGCTGACATTTCTAAACAACTCAAAAATATTAGCAAAGGACTTCTTTTGCAGAAAACAAGATACTTTCTGCTAAGCAAGACTTATTCTATATGTTTTACATATTTAGTAGTGCTTTCCACCAATTTACACAGAACGGAAATGGACCCAAAGTATTATTGGTTTCAGTAGACTGTATTCTTGCAAGATCACAGACTGATTTCTTTATAACTCTGAAGTTAGATTTCAAGATAATAATAGGACAATTTTCCCTTTACTGGTTGTATAAAGTGGATGCTTATTCGAAGGCTCCTATTTATAGTCTGGAGCCCAGAAATAATGTTAAAAAATGCAAATAATATCCCATAATTTTAATAAAGATCCAGTATTCTTGTGAAGGAAAATGAGAAGGTTAAGAGAAATGGGGAAAAGGTGCACATTTCTAAACTTTACACGGATGAGGAAAAGAATTTCCAGAACAAATGTTTCTGCTATCTCCATTGCTTCTGAAATATCAGAACAGATATTTTTTTCACACAAAACTATCCATAGACTAGATCTACTGCAGGATTGTTCAGGACAGAAAGTGAGGATTCTGTCTATAAGAAAGAAGCCAATCAGTTGTTTTATGCAATGGCTGATGGGAGCATAGGCAGCAGTGAAATGAGTTGCATGAAATTTCTGACACAGAAATTTGTGTCAGAAATTTGCTATGGGGCTGATGTTTTGTAAGAACAAATCTCTGCAAGAGATTTAGTCCTGGGATTGTAGATTGCTTTAAAAGGGATCCTTTGTTATTCACTAAGATTGATCAAACTTGCCAATCCCCTCAGGCTAAAATTATATAACATCTAAATGAAGCTAATTATACATGTAAGCACATGATTTTTTGATTTTTTTTATCCCAGGTAAGCTCAAGCACTCCTGAAGACTACAGTAATAACTGGGATAAGTGTATGAATATATTTTTTATTCTTTGTCTCGAATTTCAAGATCATAGAGAATGGATGGCTTAATGTAAGGCATAAAACTACAGAAATCCCAGTTATAAACATGTAAAATACCTGCCCTCCACTGACATTTGAGAGTACAGATTGAGTATGGAACCATTAGTGATTTGGATTTTGTAATATTTGCACATGCATAATGAGATATGTTGGAGATGAGGCTGAAGTCTAAACACAAAATGCATATGTTTCATGTACATAGTACTTTGAATAATTTTGGGCATGAAAGAAAGCCTGCATACATTGAACCATAAAAAAGCAAAGGTATCACCATCTCAGCGGTCCGTGTGGATAATTTTGGATTTTGAATTATTACAGATTTCAGACTTTCTGAATAAGGAATGCTCAACCTGTAATACCTTATGACATCCAAACATATGCACGTAAGTTATTTAGAGTATGTACTTGAATGGGAAGCCTCAATGAATAAAATGAAATATACTTATGAATTATGCAAGGCCCAGACAATATTTGAACATTTCTGAGGATTAAAAGCAGAGAGGTTTAAATTAAGTTTAACATTTTCTAACCTGCCACCAGTTTGGGTCTTCCCGATTTACAATCTGAAGGATTTCCCCTTTGGCAAACTTGAGCCCTGCTTCTTTACATGGGATCAGGTTGTCATTGTATGGATTATAGTCAAAGTGACATTTTACATATACCTGAAACAAAACAAACACAAAAAAGCTTAAAATACCAGATTTTCCAACAGTTTTAATACATTCATACATTTCATAAACATATCTAGGGTTTTTTCCCAAGCGTGTTTAAGCTTCTGGAAGAAGTGAAAGCTTTTAGTACAACTGGGACTAACTTAGTTGATTTAGATTAGTGTTAGTGTGGAAGTATAATTAAAAATAATGTTTTAAGTATCTCAAAAGTATTGGATGACAATGTTCTCTGAATCATCTAAAGAGAGGCAGGAGATGTGCTCAGTTTTTAATTAACGATGATGCTAGAACTGAGGGCTCTGTCATAGAAAAAAACGCTGTTCATTAATTCTACTGAATCTCATTAGCATGAAGATATATATATTCTTTATACACTCACCTGAACTCTTTGGTTCACCTATCATGACAGTCTCAGTAACTGAATAGTGATCAAAAAAATGTCAAGCAGTCCTAGAGACCACTCTGAATGCAGTTTTTTTTAAAAAAAGTGTATGCATTTTAATCCCACTTTTTCTGCAAGCTATCATATCACACACTGGTCATTCTATATTTTATGCTGTGTGTTTTATTCTGTTTTTATAGATGGAAACTGTCAAGAAGCTTTTTGAGAAGACAATGAAGAAGAATCAGAACAATTTTAAACCTCAGCTAGACAAATATCACCGAAGATCTGTGGACACTTCAAATGTCTGCCAGCAGCTCACATTTGCTTTCAAGTTGATGAAAAACCTAACACTTTCTAAACATTTCATTATAATGTTTGATTTGGAAGAAAGCATTCCTTCTCACAAAACAAATTGACTCAGCAAATCCTTGACTCATTTTTATGCAATGGCCTTTTCTTCTCTGAGTATTTGAGAACATGACAAAGGTTCAGTAAACCACACAGCAATGGCTCCCAAATATTTTGTTAGCATTCTATAGACTTTAAATGTCTTTTGTACCTCAAAAGCTTATAAAAAGTAAGGAAAATGTAATCCTAGGCACAAAATACTAATCTAAGGATGTAGAGTAGAAAAAAGCACAAGGTACATTCTTCAAACTAAAAACCACACATACTTTATACACAAACTCGGCAGAAAGATATGAACTGGATACCAGTGAATGCAACTCATCTTGTTGAAGAGAAATCTGCAAAAAAAGAATTTTGTGTAAACTTTTCCTATAGATGGTTTTGCTCATTACTGGCATACCTCAGTTAAGGAAGTAGATGTATTCCTGGGTTTTACTTTTTTTAAACAGAAACTTTTCTGCCAGAGGTAGAAATAACAAGGCAAAAACAGGGATAGATTTTGACGCCACAAAAAGAAGAACCATTCTGCAGGTTTCAACAAACATTTTAGACAAAACTAACATTTGGCACATACCGTTTTCCCGAAAATAAGACATCCCCTGGAAATAAGACCTAATAGAGGTTTTGCTGAATTGCTAAATATAAGGACTTCCCCCAAAAGTAAGACCTAACAAAGTTTTTGTTTGAAAATATGCTCCCCCTGGTGGCTAGAAGCTGCAATACCATCCCTGCTGTACAAGTAGTCCAGGAACTGCTGTGGGAGATTGTTATAGTCTTCAGACAGTGTGTGGGAACCAGGTACTTTACAGCCCTTATTTTTTGTGGCCTTGTGTATGAGGGGCAGTATATCTGTTATAGGCTGACAACCACTGTACAGTATATAATAAAAGTTCATTTTTTATTCAACAATAAATGTGAATTCTTCTTCATGGAAAAATAAGACATCCCTGAAAATAAGACCTAGCACATCTTCGAGAGCAAAAATTAATATAAGACACCATCTTATTTTTGGGAAAACACAGTATGAGATGAAAGCCACATCAGCTGAGCCTTGCATATTTTGAATCTTCCAGAGATCACTCAGAAGCTTCTTACAAATTTCATTACAGAGGTTTTTTTAAATTTTCTTTCAATAGCCTCCACTTTTCATATGATTTTCATTTGAGTGGCAAAACTTACAAAGCTATGCTTTTTAAAAGTAGTCTATTGCAGTTAGTAAGGAAAGTTAATCTGCTTTCCCCCATTCTTTCTGTTTTGCTGCTCACACACAAATGATTCTGGAGGCAACTGCTGCTGACCTTGCCTATTGTAGGCAGACACCTTCAAAGCAACAGTAGGATCACCTAGATCAGAATCCCATTCTTTATGAGGTCAAGCTTTACTGTATTGTTTATTCCAAAACAACCCAACACTGAAACCCTGTTTTTCTCTAGCCCACTTTTGCCATTTTCCTGATGCCAATGCTGCCAAACAAAAAACAAACTCTTCCAGCTAGACAAAGGACAAGAAAAGGGAAGCTGAGCTCAACTCCTGTAAAAAGACTTGTAAAAAAGAGCTTCTTTATCAGAGGCTTTATTAACTGAGGTAGGCCTGTACTGTTGATTAGACAGTTGCACTGTGCAAACAGTTTCGCAATGCAGTATTCTGAGCAAAAAGCCCCTCCTGATTAGATTGTACCATGTCACAATTTCCATAATCATCAGTGGTATGTATTCTATATAAGAATTTCATAGCCTTCTAAGTGACTGCTGGTAAAACACAGACTGCAGACAACTGTAAGCATGGCTGAGCTTGTTTAACATAATTGGTTAGAATGAAGGGAAGGAAATAAATGAGCAATATTTGTAACTCTCGCTTCAAATCACATATAGTTTTACTGACCTGCTGGGGAATAATATTATCTCTGTAGCTAGGCAGGATCTTCAGAGTGACACTGCCACTAATACTCTTTAGGAGTTCTTGCAACTCTTTTGGGTTGTTTCCAACTTCATGACCATTAACCTCTTTAATGATATCGCCCACATGTAGAAGACCTTGTCGATCTATCATTCCTCCATGAAGGATTCTTGCAATTACCAGATCATTATTCTCTACCCTAAAAGTCACACCCTAAAGAACATGAAGAATACCAGCATTTAGCTCTGAAATATTTATCCCCAAAATTAGAATGATGATTCAAAAATATTTCAGATAACATACCAAAAAGTGCACAATTATTGAAGCAATTTCTATGTGAAGTAACACATATTTATACATTCAACCAAATACTGCATATAACAGAAATCTAGAAGAGTAATATTTATGTATTTTCACTTTTTCTACTCAATATGTGTTTGGAGATATATCATCTCATCTAAACTGAGTTTACAAAAAGTGATGATACTTTTGTAATTATACAGTGGTTACACAAAATCCTGGTGGCACAACGGGTAAAACCGCTGAGATTCAGAACTTGCTGACCGGAAGGTCGGCGGTTCGAATCCAGGGAATGGGGTGAGCGCCCGCTGTTAGCCTCAGCTTCTACCAACACGACAGTGCGAAAATATGCAAATGTGAGTAGATCAATAGGTACCACTCTGGTGTGAAGATAATGGTGCTCCATACAGTCTTGCCGGCCACATGACCTTGGAGGCATCTATGGACGCCAGCTCTTTGGCCTAGAAATGGAGATGAGCACCACACTCCAGATTTGGACATGACTAGACTGAATGTCAAGGGGAAACCTTTACCTTTACTATAAAAAAAATCTGTGTTAACATTATCAAGACTTCTGAAGAATGCTAGCAAGTGTTTCTATTATTGTCTGCCTTTCCTCATGTATATAGCTAAACATTGATGGCTGGTATTCTGAAAAACCCAGAATACAGCTCATTTTTTTTGTCTTCCACTTTTCATCAATCTTTAGGCCTTACGCAGCAAAGCACGCATTTCATCTTTGAATAAAGGGAAACAACAAAGCAAATATACACAAATGTCAAGCATTTGTTTCTCCATACAAAGTGCTTGAAAAAAAACCCCACTATTTTTTCTGCATACTCACCAATGGCTCTCCTGCTCTTTTATGAATGCCGAGGATGCGAATGGCATCGACTGGTACAATCTGATTGTTCACTGAAGAATTATTCATTTCTGGACTAGAGGGAGGAGACTCATAACACTTTGATGCCACAATATCATGGGCTTCCAAGAGGGACTACAACAAAAGAGATGAAGAATACTTGAAATGATACAGTAAATGGTGTTAACACAAGTCAGCTGAAACTGCCTCCAAAGGTCACACAGGAGAAGGATTTCTATGCCTCTTCTCAGTTATCAAGTGTGACTCTCCACTGCTCAAAAGGAAGACAACTCCTCAATATTTCGTAAACTCGAATCAGATGAGATGATAAATGAAAACAAAGTTAATCCCTCTTACCAATGTTTATTTTCCTTCAAATATTTCCTGACAAAATGTTATAAATTATATTTTGGCAAAAGTATGCCATGTTTAAATCCACCAAAGTGGACGAAATGAAAAAATTAATGTCCATTTAACTCAAAAGTTAGTAACTTTATCTTTACCAGGGCCACAACATTTTATCTTTAGCAAGATGAAAACTGATGGGGATACATTACAAAGTGAACAGAGATTTTTTTTTTAATTTTTAATGGAAAGTTTTGTTACCAAAAAATGTGGCTCCTTCAGTATACCAACCAACTCTGCAATGTTTTCATCTTTGTTTACTAATGGTCTGATGTCTTCAAGAATCTGATTTACCAACTCCAAATTGTTGTCACTTACGGCTTCAAGTTTAGAATCTTCCAGTCTTTCATGAGCCTATAAAAATTACAGAACAAACTTTATATCAACAGAAAAGGATAGCAGCAAAGTTATGTGCCTTTGATTTACCATTTATTTTACAAGGTTCTTTTAGGGGTTTTGTAGCAATTTTGTCCCAGTTCTATTGCATCTGCTACAAATTCTCCATCAGACTCCCATAATCTATTATGTGTATTTTTACCACAGGGCACTTAAAAACTAAACAAAACATATCTTCCAAATATTTATTTTCTGCCAAGTAGTCAGTTAAACTGATAAAATACAGATATAAATGCCATAGAAAGACTAATAAAGTTAACAACCTAAGTCAATATTGGTTTATATTTCCTTTCTAATTGCAATTTCAAGAAATAAGAATGCTCTGCAAAAAGTGCATTGGCTTCCTAGTTCTTCTAAGATTTAAACACTGCCCTTGATGCTAGAAAGGGTAAATATCATGTATCCAAATTTTAAGTGTGTATGCATATCTTCTCTCTCTTAAAAGTTCACCAATTTCCGTTAAACAGGAATCTTAGGAATTCTGCCACAGAAAAGTGACTTTATAGTTTGTTTTATTAAATTACTTTTCTAACCAGAATTGTCTTCAATTCATCTGTTTGCATATGTGCAGTTTTCCCATTTCATCAACTATTACAAATTAGGAAAAACAACTCAATGTGAATTTGACAAAATCAAGTACAAATTATTGTGAATCTATTGCTTTACGATATGCATATTTTTATTAAGAGATGGAAACTGTAGTTGCCAGTGATTTCTGAGCTAGATTTGAGAAGGTCCCAAACCAGTATGGCCAAAGTACAATGGAAAACATCTAAAGGGATTCTCAAATGCTGATCCTCCAGGTGTTTTAGACCAACTACCAGCAACCTCAGCAATTTTGGTTAATGGTCAAATTCACCTAGAAGACCAGAGTTTCGAAATCTAAATCACTGATTTCAAATTCCTTTTCCATGCCAGATGACACTGTTGACATGAGCTCTCCTCAATCACATTCCAATTCTCTGCCTAGCAAGGGACAGAAGAAACACACCAAGAGAGAGCAGATGGGGAACTAGTCCCAACTTCATCCTTGATGAATCTGAGTGCTCGTCAGCACCACTTCCCACTGCATTCTCTAATTAGAAATCATTAACACGAGATATGTTACCTTAGCAAGCGATCTAACAATTGGATTCTCCATGATTCCTTTCAAGAAAATAAGGTCTATTTCTTCGGCTCCAGTTGATGGGGGCAAGTCTGTAAGATTATCCAAAACTTGCTGCATTGCTGCTGGAAAAAATACAAATAAAGTTCATGTGCAACAGTTCATCTTACAGTTAGTTTTATTATACTGAATTTAAGGTGCCCTTCTGATTAAAAATTATCGTGTGATTAACTAAGGGTCAAAACACTTCAGTCAACTATTAAATTAACAATGTTTTAAAGGGTTAGTTGTATGTTCTACACACAGAAGCAAACACACATTTTAGGATCATTAAAATATTATGAACAAAGTGGGTTTTGCATTCTCACAAACCATTTTTAAGGCATTGTTGGGAGGGGAAGAGTCAACAATTCCTGACCCCTTCAAAAAATCCCAAACAAAAAAAAAGCAATTTCATGGCAGCTTGCAACAGTGTATTTCCTGACTGTCATCCAGTAATTAAATGTCAGTTCATGAAATATTACACATAGCTTAGTTTATGTCATAGTAATGTGGATCATGCAAATTTCCTACCCCATCCTCTAAATTTTGGACCCAAGATGCATTCTTGAAAAATGCTACTCATGATATATTAGTAATTCAAAAATGGCCTTACAGAATTGTGCTTTGTTTTTCTGGATTCTTTTCCTAATTTTCAGCAGTGGTTATTCATGCAGACATTGATATACTGTAAAACAGTGGTTCTCAACCTGTGGGTCCCCAAATGTTTTGGCCTTCAACTCCCAGAAATCCTAACAGTTGGTAAACTAGTAAACTTTCTGTTAGCAAGTTCAGCACCACCAGGGGGCCCTTAGAAGTGCATAGTTAATAAGAAATTATACAACGATGTTGCATATATTTTCTCAAAATGAATATGAAAGTCTCTGTGGAGATATTTTAAAACTTTGTTAAAAATATGCAATAACCATCATTTGCAATAACGTGCCCCCATTTCCTCATTGCATATATAACTTTGCCTTGAAAAGCATGTGTAGGAGGCTAATGACAATCACATTTTGAAAGCATAATCGTTGAGACTTCTGACAGCAATTTTTCCTGTAGTGGTTACAGTAAGGTTGCTGCCAATTACACTAAACTTCCTAGAACATAATGCATTTATGCTAATAAAAACAAAGGCAAAGAATAATGGTGCAGCAAGAAATAAATTTAATGTAAGTGGATAAAAAGAGCTGATGCTGATTGGCACTTTAAAGGACAGGTGAAGCTGTTCATCCAGAGTTATTGAAGTATCTTTCTATTGCACCCTAAAAAAAGAAAATAATCCAGTAACAGCTTTCACAACTTTATTCTCAAAGAAGAAATTTCATGTGAATTGTTCTCAATTATCGAAATATACCATTTTAGTTTGCAACACACAGCAATTTTATTCATAAACACAGGTGTTACTTCTAATTCAATGCAAATATTCACAAACAATTGAACAACTTAACAAATTAAAGGTTCCTCACAAAAGCATACCAGAAAACACGAAGTTTGCTAAATAAATCCCAGAATTCAAGTTGAATGTTAACTGTCACAAGCCATCCCAAAATACATAGCCATCAGCTACTCAATGCTACCATAGAGTAGAGGATGGGCATAGAGAAAAGGGGGGGGGGAGAGAGAAATCACGTGTGTATTATTACCACAATTTGCAAATGCTATATGGAGTAAGAAGCAGCTATCAATGGGCAAAACTATCTGTGTCCTTTCTGTATGGCTGTCAACATATTCTGGTGTTTGACAGTCTACCTTGTACCCCCAATACTAAAGGGATAAACTCCTCCTAAATCTGTAAACCTTCCATGCCTTGGGAATATGGTGGTAGGCAAGAGCATATATTGCCCATCCTGGCTTCTGAAGGAGGCCAGAGGGGGATTGGCTGAGTGGGTAACGGTGGTGGTTAATGCCTCCCTTCGGGAAGGCGAAATTCCAGCGAGCTTAAAACAAGCTATTATAAAACCGCTGTTGAAAAAACCATCACTGGACCCCACTAAATTTGACAACTTTCGGCCTGTTTCCAATCTCCCCTTTTTGGGCAAAGTCATGGAAAGCGTGGTGGCCTCACAACTCCAGGTACTCTTGAGAGACACGGATTATCTGGATTCGGCACAGTCTGGTTTCAGACCGGGACATGGAACTGAGACGGTCTTGGTCGCCTTAGTGGATGATCTGCGCCGGGAGCTAGACAGGGGGAGTGTGTCCCTGTTGGTGCTCCTGGACCTCTCAGCGGCCTTCGATACCATCGACCACGGTATCCTTCTGGGGCGTCTTGCGGAAATGGGCCTCGGGGGCACTGTTCTGCAGTGGCTCCGGTCATTTCTGGAGGGCCGCACCCAGAAGGTGTTATTGGGGGACACCTGTTCAACGCCACAGCCTTTGACTTGTGGGGTTCCACAGGGCTCTATACTGTCCCCCATGCTGTTTAACATCTACATGAAGCCGCTGGGTGAGATCATCCGGAGTTTCGGGGTGCGGTGTCATCTGTACGCAGATGATGTCCAACTCTGTCACTCCTTTCCACCTGCTACTAAGGAGAGCTGTCGAGGTCCTGAACCGGTGCCTGGCCGCTGTAATGGTCTGGATGAGGGCGAACAAATTGAAATTAAATCCAGACAAGACAGAGGTACTCCTGGTCAGTCGCAAGGCCGAACACGGTATAGGGTTACAGCCTGTGCTGGATGGGGTCGCACTCCCCTTGAAGGCGCAGGTTCGCAGCTTGGGTGTGATCCTGGATTCATCGTTGAGCCTGGATCCCCAGGTTTCAGCGGTGACCAGGGGAGCATTTGCACAGCTCAGGCTCGTGCGTCAGCTGCGCCCGTACCTCGGGAAGTCTGACTTGGCCACGGTGGTACATGCTCTGGTCACATCCCGCCTTGACTACTGCAACGCTCTCTACGTGGGGCTGCCCTTGAAGACGGCCCGGAAGCTTCAGCTAGTCCAGCGCGCGGCAGCCATGTTACTAACAGGAGCGGGACGCAGGGAGCATACAACGCCCTTGTTGTACCAGCTCCACTGGCTGCCAATTTGCTACCGGGCCCAATTCAAGGTGCTGGTGTTGGCCTACAAAGCCCTAAACGGTTCCGGCCCAAAATACCTGTCTGTCCGCATCTCGGCCTATGAGCCCACGAGGACTTTGAGATCGTCCTGGGGAGGCCCTTCTCTCGATCCCGCCTGCCTCACAGGCACGTCTGGCGGGGACGAGAGATAGGGCCTTCTCGGTGGTGGCCCCCCGGCTGTGGAACACCCTCCCTGTAGACATCAGACAGGCGCCCTCCCTTATGTCATTCCGCAAGAGCCTAAAGACATGGTTATTTGAGAAGGCGTTTAACTAAGTGCTACAACAATTGGCAATGATGATTGGAACGGAATATGGATAACGAGATTGGATTGTGATTCTATGATGAGACGTCGCAAATGATTTAGTGTAATTGTATTATCGATAGTGATGTTGTTATTGTTGTTTGTGATATTGCCTTTATTGTAAATTGTTTTTATATGTTGTACACCGCCGTGAGTCGCCCTAGGGCTGAGAACGGCGGTCTACAAGTGCAGTAAATAAATAAATAAATAAATATATTGTGTGTCTGGAAACAACAGCGAAGTTTAATTTACTTATATTAAGAGATTACTGCAAAATTTAAGATGAGAAGAAAAATAAACTATATATGGCTACCTATGGCTAATTCAATTGTCATTAAAGATATTTACCACCACCACCACAAAGAAAAAACTTTATAAAAAATAATTTTGGACCCCTAGGATTGCACAAATGGGTGCTGTACACTTCATCTATTCTTTTTAAGCTGTTCAGTATGATGTCTTTGAAAAGCATACAATACTAAGCATTCCCAAGTACATTATGAGAAAAACAAAAATTATGAAATAGAATATTTCAGTAGACAAGACACATATAGGTGCTCATAAGATTAATGTCATATGTGGTCAAGGCAGCATAACAGCTGACAAACCACTGTTTTCACAACATCACCAGTCAATGCACTTAAATTGTAACTTTAAAAAATTAAGTTGGCTTAGGCCCTTTAGCAGGATAAAGGTAGGATATAAATGTGGTTAATTAATACTGCACTTGTGGTTTTCTTTTCATGCTATACGTTAAGGAGTCTTGTATGCTAACATCAAGTAGCATACATGGATGAATATGATTCTATGATCTCAGTCAACTTTACTCTATAAATCCAACACTACCATGCTCTTCAGCTTTTTGGATATCTTCAGCTATCTGGTAGAAATACTGTAGCTAGAGTTCCTGCACTAAACAGGCTAGGACTCAATGCCCAATGAGCTCTGATTCCAGTTCCATGATTCTCCTGTACATGAACAGGACTTAGAGAGCTTTGAGAATCTTAAATTCCCATAGTCTGGCTCTCATTCCAGTTCCATGATTTTCTTGTGCAAGTCCAGATTATTTGTTTTAATAAAAATCCTATTTTGAATCCAGAAAGAGAAAAGTAAAAATGATATCATCTATTCTCTTGGACAAACTTAACATTTATTGATGAGACTAATATAAAAAGTTGCAAGGCCTCCAGAAAAAAAGATCTTTGTTTTTAATTACACTATTCTCCAGAGGGAGGCCCTGAAATATGGCTGCAGACTTCCTTAGATCCCATCTTTCTTGTTGCTGTGTGCTTCAAATCATTTCCTACTTATGGCAACTCAAAAGCGAATCTATCATGGGTTTTTCTTGGCAAGATCTGTCTTACATACTTCAATTTTTTTATTTCAATCATGTGTTAGTATTATTCTGAATAAAGTATAAAAACACAGTACAAATCTATCATATTTTGGTAATAAATATAATATGTTTTAAAATTAACTCATGGATTGTGTCAACTATAACTTAATATTTGTGAATAATCTATACTAACTATATTAAATGATGTCAGCTTCATTAGTTTCAAACTAATTTTGAGAGAAACCAGCTTTCTGATGTGGCCACAATTGGAATTTTTCTCCAATGTGCCTTGACCAGTATCATATTTGTGCTTCATTATCATACAGTTTCCCCAAGAACCCACCATAGACTGGCAAGTTTTGACTTCTGGATCCATTGGCCACTACT